ACTGGGCGCCCCTGGAGTGGGACGAGGCTGGCTTTCCACCTGGGGGCCCAGTTGGGCTCTGAGATAGTTGCTGGAGGGAGGGGCCCGAGTGCGCCTTTGAAGAATCAGCAGCAGCACCCTCACCCCTGCTCGGAGCCACGGGCCCGTTTACAGAGGGAACGACAGGCTTGGAGAATAGCTGACTTGAGGTCTCCCAACAAACCCTGATCTGTGGCTCTCACCTCCAGCCTCCAGATACTTACTTAAGTTCTGCCCTGCCCCAGGGTGCTTGGCCAACAGGAGGTGACTTCTGGGCACCCCCACCCCACCCCACCCCCCTCCACACACACACACACGCAGGTTCCACACTGCCTCTGTTCCTCCTCCTCTCGTACTCTGACTCCTCAGCTGACCTCGCTGCCTGCCCTTCCAGTTCCTCCACGCTGCAGAGTGAGCCCCCAGAATCTGCCTCCACGCCCCACCCTCCAAGTACCTTGCTTCTGATTGGCCTTTGCGTTGCTGTTCTCTTTCTAGAACCATCCTGGCTGTTCAGGATACAGCACCACTCTGCTCCACTGTGAGACTAACTATCCCCCCCTCCCCCCCAATCTACCACTCCGGGGCCTCTGTTGCCACCATGTGCTTGGGGCTGTTAGGGGCAGAGACTCAAGTTCCATGTAAGAGCTAGGGGTGAATTTGGAGGTTGTCGCGGGTCCCCGTTGCTGGAGGCCTGTGTGTCAGTTCTGAGCTCAGTGACTGGGGGCGCCCCTCCTTCCCAGACTGCTGTGTGTGTGGTTATGGGAGTCGGGGGTGGTGGGGGGGGTGTGAGCTGCACAGCCGCAGACCTGGACTGGTACAGAGTGGGGACCTCAGTTCTGGCTCCAGCCCCCAGGAAGGAGCTGGTGGACCCGCTGGGGACGAACCCACTGTGGGGCTCTTCTGCTCCCAACCAGATGCTCCTGCTGACATTGGCCTTCCTGCTGGTGTCGGGGTGCAGGAGGCTTTCCTCAGGATTGGGGGTGCTCTTAGGGGGTCTGGCGGAGCTTAGCTCCTGCTCTGCGCTGAGTCTGGGTGCGGACCTCTGACGGAGGCTTGGGACGGTGTCGGGGAGGGGGAGGACGGATGAGACTGTGCAGTGTCCCAGCGTATGCCCAGGCTGGCAGGAGGACCCAGGACACTGCTGTTTTCAGCCTTCCAACCCGGGGGTCACCGGGACCCCAGCCCAGCCCACCCGCCCCCGGGGTGGAGCCTGTTGTGGAGCCTGGGAACGGTGTGCGCTATAAATAACGCCCATGTGGCTGCGCGTGTGCCCTCGCCTGGCACGGCCGGGAGGGAGGGAAGGGCCTTAGTCAGAGGCCGGGCCTGTGCCGTGGAGGGACGGGAAGTGGGGCTTCCTGAAGGAGCCGTCACAGTGGGGTCCTGCACCCCTGGCCGAGAGAAAAGCCTGTGGGGTCCAGCCACTGCCCAGCCCCCTGCATCTTCTGTGGGGACCATGGACAGTGATGAAGGGGCCACCCTGGCAGGGGACGCAGGCCGAACAGGGTGCATGGTATCAGCTGCTCAGGGCACACAGGCTGGGGGGAGGGTGGGGAATGCCCCTACCCCCCCCCCCCCCCGACTCTCAGGAAGCCTCTACTCCCCCTGCCCCACTGCTGGGACTGACTTCAGTCCCCTAAAGCCCCCTGGTCTGACCACTCCAGGGCTGGCGTGACCTTGACCTCAAGGCGCTCCTCTTGAATCGCCTCCAGAGACAGGGGCTGGCCCTCCCGTTTGTGGAGGGGGACCCCAAATCTCAGAGAGGGGAACCTTGCCCAAGGTCACAGCCACCAAGTGTGGAGCCAGGACTGGCCCGCAGGTGGGACTGCTTTCTTTGTACCCCTTAACCCCAGTTCCCAGATGCCACTGGAGAGGTTCTGGGAGGGGGTCTCAGAATGGGACCGGGCTGGCCTGTTGGTCTTCCCCGTCTTAAAATCTTGCTCAGGTTGGCAGGCTGGGGGTCGAGCAGGAGGGGTGCAGGCCTTAGATGAAGGGGCGCCCTGGTCCCAGATCCGTGGCGGGAGTGGGCGAAGGTAGGCGATGGGCGGGGTGTCCTGCTGAGTTGGAGCAGGGAAGGGCGTGTGGTGCCCAGCGGGCAGGGGCTGCACACAACCGAGTTTTATCTCCTGTAAAACCCTTGGTGGGGGGCGGGGGTCAGCTTTCTCGGGCTCCTCCTCCCTTGGTGAAACCCAATAGCGGGGGCTTGGCGGGGGTGTCGGGACCCCCTTCTGCCCTGGTGAGGACTGTGGGCACCACGCCCTGGGGAGTGGTGGGGCTGGGGGTCCCGTCTTGCCACTTCAATCCTTTCCCCTGCCTCCAGTGCCAGTTAGCCCCTTGGCCCTCCTGCCTCCCCCTCCCCCAGACTGGACTCAGGGTGCCCAGGCAGAGCCCTGATGAAGTCCTGGCAGGGCCCAGGGCACCGCATGCCAGGCGGGGATGGATGGCCGTGGCTGCTGTGGGTGGGTCAGGGCCCCCCTCACTGACTGGCCCGAGTCAGCCTCTGCTCCTCTCTGGGCCTCAGTCCTCAGCCGCCCCAGGGAGGTGGCGTCACCCCAGGTCCCTGCCCCTCCTGGGGAATGGCAGCTCTCTGGGGCGCTGGCACAGCCATGGTGGTACTGGGGTGGCGGTGCAGGCAGGCAGAGCACAGGGTGCTGGCCTGGATTCTCTCCCGCCCCCCGATTAAGCCACCGCTCCCCAGCCTCTGCCTTTGCGTGCTTAGCTCAAAGCCGGGCCCGGGGGTGAGGGGGCAAGCAGTCAGGCCTGCACAGGTGACTCTTTCTGTGGCCTCGGTTTACCCAGGCACAAGACCTGGGCCCGCCTCTCCCAGGACCTGAGGGGAGGAGGGTCCTCCCCTGGAAGGTGGGGAGGCGGCACCCAGGCCACCCACTGCGGGCACTGCCCTACTTCAGCCCCCGTTGCCAGGGAACGCGGCTCCTGCTAACCTGGATTCCCTGCCGCGGCCCCATCTTCCTCCCACCCCGGGAGGCCCGTGTCCAGCTGTTTCCTGGCAACCCCAGCTGCTGAAGGCCACAGGGAGGGGGTCCCCTCGGGCTGCTGGGGGCCACTGGGGGGGGGCTGGCCCGCCCCATGCCAGGTGAGTGGCTGCTTCTCACTTGTCCCCTCCCTCCCCCACCCCCCTGCCCTTGGCTCCCCACCCCAGGAGCCCGCTGAGGCGTAACTGGCTTCAGGTTCCCCCCACCCCGTGTGACTCTGGGGCACAGTGTCCCCGCTCGCGGCCCCCCACAGCCTCACCATGCCAGTGGGCACCTCCTATGGGCCAGGCTACATGCCAAGCATGGAACTGAAGTATCAGCTGTCGATAGTCTATACCTGCCTGCCATGGAGAAACTGAGGCATAGGCTCCTCTGTTCCGGGCCCTGTGCCGAGCCCCCGCTGTGAGCCCGCAGCGCAGAGCCAGGCCTGCTGGTTTCAGATTCAGGCCCACCCCCTCCCCGCTCCACAGCCCAGCTGCTGGGCCCCCTAACTGTTCCCAGAAGAATCTGGACCCTTGCCCGAGGAGGGGTATATTTCAGGACCCTGGCTCACCCCAGCTCAGCATGCCCCGCCCATAGGTCCTCGCAGGCTGGATGTGGGGTCCCTGAAACTCCAGGCGGTGGGAGTGGGGGGAGCTGGGGAATGGGAAGGCCACATTCCCATGGCGGGGGGCGGGTGTCATGGAGGGGGTCTCTGATCCCAGCTCCTAGCGGGGAGCGGGTGTTGCCAGGTGGCTGGAGAGGCAGCAGGTAGCATGGGGGGAGGGTGTATGTCTGGGGGCCGGGGACAGCTCCTAGTGGTGTCTTGGGAGGCGGGAGGGGCACAGATTTGGGTGTTGACCCCCCCCCGGGACCCTGCGTGGGGCTGCCCTGGAGGTGCCCAGGGCTGCGGGGCCGAGTGGGACCGTTGGGGTTCTGCGGGGAATGAAGAGTGTGGTGGGGGATGTGTGTCTACGGGTTATGACCCGCTTCGTTCTGGGAAAGGGGAACTGCAGCCGGGTGGAGGGTGCAGCTTCCTCTTTCTCTGGGGCCTCGGGGTGCGCCTCCTCAGCCGCGCCTGCATCCCGCCTGGGACTCTGGGCTGGGCAGGCCTCGCGCTTGGCCTGCTTCCAGGGAATTTCTGGCTCATTGTTTGGGCACTTTGGAGGGTGGGGGGCTGAGTGTGAGGAAGGCCCCCCCTGGCCCCACTGCAGGGACCTCCCGCTCCAGATGCTGGGGTGGGGGGCCGGAGACAGACTGCTCTGCCTCCTGCTGTCTGGTTCTCCCCAACCCCCCATAAACAAGCCTACAGACAAATACTAATTACACACAGGGCCTGGGGCCCGGGTGGGAGGGGGGAGAGGCTACTCGGGTGCTCACCTCACTTCAACCTCTCTCTGTGGCCATGGGGCCCGGCTGGTGGCGTTGGCCCATCCTGCAGATAAGCAGACTGAGCCCCGCTGGGCTCCACACAGAAGCCAGGAGACAGTCACCTGGGGCTGACTTCTTCCTGCATCGTGTGGAGCTGGGGGCTCCCTGCCGGAACAGGGTGGGAGAAGAGGCGCCAGGGGTGCTGTCCTCCCAGGACCAGCAGCCTCGAGCCCACAGGCCCTCCTCCAGGAAGTCCTCCACAGATGCCTGTCACTGAGCATCCAGCCACCTGGCCTTGGTGGAGGGGTGTCGGTGACACCTCACAGACCCCCCCTGCCGCCTGGGGTCTCTGTGTGCACTGGCTGTTTGTGGGGGGAGGCTTCAGGGGAGCCCAGAGCTGCAGGGGCTCCCACCTGCTGAGCTGGCAGGTCCTTCAGGGCCCAGTCTGGGCGGGGGGTGTGGGGGCTGGGGCGGGACTGTAGCAGAGATGGGGTGGCCAGACGGGAGTAAGTGCAGGTTTGGGGTAATTAGAAGGCGCATAATTAGAAGGCGTCGGGGCGTCCTGTGGCGCGTGTCTGAGTGCACCCCAGTGGGCCTCGTGGCTTGGAATCTGCGCCTTCAGCCCTGGGTTTCCGCCCAGAAACCTGAGCGTCTGCCTCGAGTCTGTGGGTCTGGGCCCCCTGCACCCTTCCCTGCTCAGGTGTTGGAGGTGGTCTGTGTGTTGGTGGGGAGGCCTGTTGGGGTGGCAGGAAGGCCCGAGGGTGGGGGTGCCACCTGCTAGACACCGCCTGCCAGGCCTGGGCCCTCACCCCGCCCGCTGGCCCGACCTTCTCCTGTCCCAGGTTTTCCCCTGAGCTGGCCCGGGGCCCAGGGCCGCTGCCAGTGACCTGGAGAGTCCCGAGGATGGTGTGACCGTCCCCTCCCCCTCGGTCCTGTAAGGCACACCCCGGCCCCAGGATCAGTTTCCGCCCCAGCTCCTCTTCCAGTGGGAAGTTGGTGTCCCGGAGGGGGGGGGCCCTTGTGTGACCCCGGGGGGCCATGCTGGGCATGTGGGCAGTGCCTGGGCACTCCCTGGAGTTCAGGGGCTGCCGGTGGTCTTTGGCCAAAATGTCCTCCCCCTCAGGAAGCACTTCAGCAGCCCACCTTCTGCCCCCCCCACCCTAGCCCTCCCTCTTTCCTCTCTTGCCTTGTGTGCCGGGTGGGGGGGCTCAGCTATAGTCTCGCCTCCACATCTGGGGTGGGCAGGCAGTGGGGGGGTGTGGCTGAGCTTCTGGGGTATGAGGGCCCCGGGTTGGGCATGTTGTGCCCGTGAGGGGGTGCCTTCGGGGGCTGCAGTCCGTACGGGAGCAATCCGGAGGCCTGGAAGACCACAGTGCAGCTGCAGCCAGACCTGGCGTGGGGGGTGTCCTGCCTCCCCGCCCCCTCTGTTGAGCGCCCTCTCCCTCTGCTCTAGGCTCGGAGCTTCAGGGCCCAAGGATGAAGTGGGGCCCAGTGCTCTGGCCCCTCACCTGCCTCCTGGTGGTGAGTATGGGGGTTGGCCTGGGGGCTGGGGGTTCCCAGCTGAGCCCAGAGCCCTGCTCCCCAAACTCCTCAGTGGGTGGAAGAGTTGCTAACTTGGCTTCGGGAAGGCGCCCCGGTGCAAGACCAACCCCCCTCCCCCACCACGCCTGCCCCAGTATCTGGCTGCTACCATGAGCAGGCCTGGGCCTGAGGTCCCCAGAGCCGCCCGTGTGATGTCTCACTGCCCTCCACCCCCCACCCCTCCCCAGCCTGAGGCCTGGGTCTCCTCACTTCGGGAGAGATATTCCTGGAACAGCTCACACCTCGGGAGGTGGGAGTGGGGGGAGATGAGGAAGTGTGAGGGGGACACAGATGGAAAAGATCCTTCCCTTGGGCCCCCGAGGTATGGGTGTGGGGTGCGGGGCTGGCCCTGAGCATGGGGAGGTCATGGAGGAGGAGGAGGATGTGGTCCCGGGGCTCAGCTGACGGCCCAGAATAGGCAGCGCCAGCTGCAGGCTTGGCCCGGGAGGGCGGGAAGAGGCAGCTGGTTTCATGCCTTTGGGGGAAGGAGGGGTTGTCTGAGCCGGAGGAGTGGGAGAGGCTTTGGGAAGCAGCTTCCCCATCTCTGGGCCCCCAGGGGCCTTCCCCTCAGGTGGGACAGAGGTGTCTCAAGAGCTAAGCTTGCAACTTGGTCCTTCTGGGCCTTTCCAGCATTTCCCCGAAGCTCCTGGTGGGGGCGCTGCAGCCGCCCAGCGAAACCCTCGGCCTGAGGAGTGGAGGCGGGAGGGGCTTGTGGTCCTGTGTGCACATGACCAGCCCTGGGGTCTCAGGAGGCGGGTGAGCGGCGGCCCCCGCTTAAGGCCCTTGACTCAGTGCCCCTGTTCTTCCAGCTGTCGCGCTGCTCTCTGGCCACCCCCACAGTGCCAAGCTTGTGGCAGTGCCCGCCGGGGGAGGAGCCCAGCCTGGTGAGTGCCCCGTCTCTGCCCTGCCTCGCCCCCTCCCTGGAGGAGGCCGAGGGCCGTGCTCACCCCCTTTTCCCTCCACAGGCCCCGGGTGCTCTCTGCAGGCCCTGCCCGCCGGGCACCTTCTCGGCATCGTGGGGCTCTGGGTTGTGCCAGCCCCATGCCCGCTGCGGAGTCCATGGGAGATCGGAGGCCCGGGCGGGCACAGCCACTCGAGACACACTCTGTGGAGCCTGCCGGCCCGGGTGAGCCAGGCGCCAGGGCTCTGAATCCGGGGGTCCCTGCCCTCATTGTCCCCGAGTGAGCTCGGTGCTCTTTCTGTGACATAGGCTTGGCCCATGGCCACGAGGGTGCCAGGAGAAGGGGTTCAGCCTGCCCTGGACCCTCGGGGGTCTCAGTGTCCTTTCTCCTTGCAGGTGGTTCGTCCCTTCGGAGGCCTCCCGCGCCCCCTGCCAGCCGTGCGCCTGGGCGTCTCCGGGAGCGCGCGGCTGTGATGGTGAGTGTGGGGGACTCGGCTGGGGTGCGGGCCTGGCAGACTGCAGCCTGCGCCACCCCCACTGTCCACTTAGATCGTGGAAGGCCCCAGGAATGGGGGAGTGCGTGCCGTGGGACATGTATTTGCGCCCCTGGCGTGTCTGCCCACCCGACTCGGGTCCCCGAGACCAGCTGCTATAGAGGGACCCACACTTGTCAGCTTTCTGCCCCCTTTCCAGAAAAAAAAAAAACTCCCTTCGGTGCCTCTAGAAATCTCCCTCTGTTAAGGGAACACACAGAAAGCAGCCCCCACTGCACAGAGGCTACTACGCCCCTTTATTCTGGTGCCCCCCGGAGGTGGTAACTCCCACTTTGGGAAGCAGCAGCAGCCGCCATAGGGGCCTGGGGGCGCACACAGTCTTCGGCCTTGCTCCCTCCAGGAGAGCCGCAGCTAAGTGTGGGGCCACACTCACCTTTTTTAATTTTTTAAAAATTTTTATTACTGAGACACCATGAGGTACAGTTGTAGACTTACAAATTTTTGTGCTTGGGTTTCAATTATACAATGATCAAGTACCCATCCCTCCACCAGTGCCCATTTCCCACCACCACGGATCCCAGTATCCCTCCCACCCCCCCTCCTCCCCATCCTCCCCATCCCACCCTGCCTCTGTGGCAGGGCATTCCCCTTTGTTCTCTCTCTCCTTTTGGGTGTTGACACACTCACCTTTTGAGGCCCGTGAACTCATGGGCCAGGTCTCGGGAGGCAGGGCCTAGCCGTTAGGGGTGCACGTGGCTGAGAGCCACTTGGGGGACCGATCCCGCGGCTGGAAGGAAGCAGGGGGTGACCTCGGCTCCTGGGGTGGCTTGGCCCAGGGTGCAGCGGGGCCCACTCTGACTCTGCTTCTCTCCATCGGCCACCCTCTGGGGCTCAGAGCGGGTGCAGCGAGCCCGTCGGGGTGTGGAGGTGGCCCCGGGGGCCGGCGGCAGCGAGGAGACGGGGCAGCCCGGGAACGGCACGCGGGCGGGCAGCGCCGAGGAGAAGGCCACTCAGTACGCGGTCATCGCCATCGTGCCCATCTTCTGCCTCATGGGGCTGCTGGGCATCCTGGTGTGCAACTTGCTCAAGCGCAAGGGCTACCACTGCACAGCCCACAAGGAGGTGGCGCCCGGGCCCGGGGCCGGGACCAGCGGTGAGCAGGGGAGGGGGGACGGGGGCGGCCTGCCCTGTGCCACCTGCGGCCCTGCTGGGTGCGGGGTCTGACATGCACGTGCCTGCAAGAGGCGGGGGGCTCTGTGCCAGCCCCCCCGCCCCCCCCGGGCACTACAGAGGTGCCATGTGGTTCAGGTTAGATATGTCCTGGGGCACTGCTCTGGGCAGTTAAATTCAACTCCCTCCTGGGGCTAGTGGGGTTGGGAGAGGCTTTGCCTGTGGGAGCCCCGGGTTCAGTCCCCACCCTGTGGTCCTCCCAGCACCTCCAGTGAGCCTTGAGCAGTGTGAGCCTTGAGCACTGTGCCAGTAGTAGCATCTGAGCACCACAGGTCTGACCCGTGTCCCCGCCCCCCGCCCCCCCCCCCCATACAAATAGGACCAGAGAGAAAGTACAGGGGGTAGAGCGTCTGCCTTGTCCGCCGCCAGCCCTGGTCAGATCCCTGCCATCCCACTCGGCAGGAGTGATTCCTGAGTGCAGAGCCAGGAGGAACCTGCTGAACGTTGCAGGGTGTGGCCCAAAACAAAAGAAAGTGGACAGACTCCTGGAACTAGGGGAGAGGTTGTTCCTCCCGCTCCTCCACCCCCGGGCCCCCCTCAGCACAGTCCCCCAGAGCCCAGCGCCTGGACACATGCAAGGCACTACATAGCCCTGTAGCCACGGCAAGACTGAAGTGGGGTCTCCTGGGCCAGCTAGTGCCCCTGCCCCATCCCCTGTGTGTCTGGAGGGGCAGGAAAGCAGCTTCTGGCTCTCTGGCCCTGGGATGCCCACGGGGGTCCCTACCCCAGCCCCTCTACTTCGGGGCCTTGCTCAAGTAGGTAGCAGTGAGGGGAGCTGTCAGGTCTGCCTGAGACTGAGGGTTCAGGGGCAGACCCCAGAGAGGACGACTGTCCCCACCTTCCCACATTGGTCAGGGGCTGGAGCAGGGCTCCTGAAACTAGGCATTTGCGGGGTGGGCCCAGGGAGGGGCGTCGAGGAGGGCCAGTGTTAGGGGCTTCTCAGCCCGTTTGCAGCCTGGGCGGCTGCACACCACCACTCTTTCGGGAGGCTTGGGGCGCCCTCTGCTGGTGCAGCCTGGAGACACCCCTCCCTCTCCACTGGCCCTGGCTCACCGTCTGGCTTCTCTCCCTCAGGGATCAACCCAGCCTTCTTGGCCGAGGACCCCAATGAGGACACCATCGGGGTCCTGGTGCGGCTGATCACGGAGAAGAAAGGTGAGGAGCAGGCCGGCTCGTTCCCATGCTGGGACTGGGGCCGTCCCGGGCCCACACCCGCTTGCCCGGCCTCCCTGAGGGTTTTTGGGGGCTGCCAGGGGGGTCTCTGCCCATGGGTGGGGCTGCCCCCTCCCCATGTTCTTGCCTTGTGGGGGTGCGGGGTGGAGCTAAGCCCAGGGATGGGCTGACACGGTTCCCCGCAGAGAACGCGGCGGCGCTGGAGGAGCTGCTGAAGGACTATCACAGCAAACAGCTGCTGGCCGCCGGCCATGGGCCCGCACCCCGGTGAGTGTCCCCTGGACGGGGGTGGGGGGGTGGGGGTGAGGGGGGGCAGGGATGCCGCTGCGCGTGTGCCCGGCCTGGGCCTCCCTCACCCGCCGCCTTCCCTGCTCCCAGGCTGCCACCCCCCAGCTCGCCGCACACCTGCCCGCACCACCACCTGCACACGGTGCAGGGCCTGGCCTCGCTCTCCGGCCCCTGCTGCTCCCGCTGCAGCCAGAAGTGGCCCGAGGTGCTGCTGTCCCCAGAGGCCGCTGCCGCCTCCTCTCCCGCCCCGACTAGGCTCCTCCCGGGCGCGGGCCGGCCCCCCAAGGCTGGGACCAAGGCTGGACGCCAGGGCGAGATCACCATCCTGTCAGTGGGCAGGTGAGTAGGGGGGCTGGGGATGCGACTCTGGGGAGTGGGACTGATGGGGGGGGCCACGGGTTTCACAGAGTCTGGGGGGCCCGGTGCCCGTCTGCTGCATCATAGGGTTGGGGGTCTTCCGGGGGCTGGGTCGGCGTCCAAGCCGAGAGCAGGGACCTGTGTAGCAGGAGGCCCTTGATGAGCTTGTTGCCGCCCCTGGAAGTTGCTGCCCCGCAGCCCTGGGGACCCCCTCATGGAGGGATGGTTGGACCCCTTGCAGGTTCCGTGTGGCCCGAATTCCTGAGCAGCGGGTGAGTTCGGCCGTGTCCGAGGTGAAGACCATCATGGAGGCCGGGCCATCGGTGGGGGACCTCTCTGAGCCCCTGGAGCCTGGCCTCTCTGCCGAGCAGCGGGCACAGCTGGGCGGGGGCGGAAGCCACCCCAAGTGGCTGAAACCCCCCCTCGTGGAGAGCAAGGCGGAGGTGAGGGCCTGACCACGGCACTTGGGCCAGCCCTTTTGGAGGGGCAGGAGAATGGGGGTGCGGGACCACATTTTCCTGGAGCCTGACTGCTCTGACCCCCTCCGCTGTCCCCCAGGAGAACCGTTATGTGGTCCGGCTAAGTGAGAGCAACCTGGTCATCTGACGGCCTCGTCGGAGGACACGCGACCCCACCCCTGGGGTCCCGAGGATTCCTGGAGCCGGGGCGCCAAGTGGGGCCTGTAAGGACCAAGAAACCATGAGTGGCCCCGCAGATGGCACTGCAGACAGACCCGCAGGGGCCCCTGTCCGAGGTGGAGGGGCCGCTCAGGGAGGCCATGGCAGGTGCAGTGTAGGAGTAGGTTGAGAGCCCTTCCTGGTTCCTGCTCCCCACTCCTCCCCTGTGGGGTGCAGGGTACAAGTGCACCCCTGACCTTGTACCCTGCTGTGGCCTGACCTGAGGTGCCCGCGGCACACTGTGCCACCAGGTGGCTGGTTTGGACGGCAGGGAGGGGCCTCCTGGCTCAGTACCCACTTTTGCCTTGTACAAGGCTGAGAGAAGGGGGCTGGCACCCCATCCAGCAGGTTCTGCAAAGGAAGGGGCCTCGCTGGGTGTGAGCGGGGAGCCCTGGGTGCCAGCCCCGGGCGCGCCCCCTCCCTCGCTGGACCCCCTTTTCTGACTGTGAGGGGCGCCTCTCCAGCTTCTTGTCTTCTGGGAGCAGCTGTGCCGAGAGCTTGACTCCTGCCACCCGTCAGCAGCTTCGGTCCCGCATTTGCCACGCCCAGGACTCCCCCCAAGGTCCCCAAGGGGTGCCCGCAGGGGGGCCTCGTGCATGTGCCGCCGCCACGCCCCGCCATTCCAAGGAGACTCAGCCGGGCCGGCAGTGGGGTGACGCAGAGCTCGGTGTGAGCTCAGGAGCTGTGGGGGAGATGGGGTGACGGTGTGTGTCCCGGCCTGGGCACTGCAGGCGGCTGCCCAGCCTTCCCCGTCACTGCTCTGCTCCGCTCCCAGGTTATTTATGTGGGGCCGTGCTGGCGCGGACCCAAGACCATCCCCGTTTCTCTTATTTATTAAAACGTTGCTATTGTCCTAGCGTTGTGTCTCCATCCCCATCTGTTTATTGGATAATAAAAGGTGGGAAAGTGGCATCACGAACGTCTTTGCCCTCTGCCTGCGCCCCAGGCCATCTGTCCATCACCCAGTTCTCAGGCCCTTTGGGGGTCAGGCCGTCCCTTCCTTTCTGGCAGGGGCGACAGCTGGTAAAATGTTGGGGGAGGCTTCTCGCCTCCTCTGGAGAGCTTGTGAAGCCCCTGGAGGGGCTTCCCGGTTGCTGCGTGGTGGGGGTTAGGATGTCTGGTACTTGAGCACTGTTCTAGAAGCCACATTTGAAGGAGAGTGGCTGGGCCAGAGGAGCAGTGCAGAAGCACCGAGTACCTGCCTCGTAAGCACGGAGTAAAGAGTGTAAATCCCTGGCGTCTCACATGCACCTGGCAGCTCAGCTGTCTGCGTCCCTTGGTGCCGTGTGTGACTTCTAACCACACTGCAGGCATCTGTGAACACCTCAAAAATGGGGCAAAGCCTGGAGAGCACCACAGGTGGAAATGTACCCTGGGCGGGCCTGGGTGCAACTCCAGGGCCCTGAAGCACCACTGTCAGCAACAGAGAGAAGGGGGGAGGGGGGGGGAGGAGGGCAGGAAATAATAAAAGTGGGTGCGTCCTTGATGATCATCATCCTTGATCCCAGGATGTATTTTAAGTCACTGTCTAAAAACCAGGTGCATTTTACACTTCAGACACCAGAGACATCTTACTCCGAACAGGGAGTAAGCGGCCGGCAGCACCCTCGGCCAGCAGAGAGCCCGGTCCAGAGGAAGCAGAGGAAGGCGGAGGGTGAATGGGGCTGGAAACTCCCTCACACTGGGAGGGTGGGGGGGGGGGGGGGTGGAAGGAGCCGCAGGAACTGGTTCCCCAGGAAAACTGCTGCTTCCACCTGAGGTCTCTGTCATTCAGAACTGGGGCGGGGGCGGGGGAGTGAGGAGGGCAGTAGTGGACTGCAGGGCAGAGGATCAGGTCAGCTGAGCCAGCTGGGCCTGAGCCAGGAGCAGCCCTGCTGCGTCAGTGGCACAGCCCCAGGCAGGCCCGGAACATCAAGGGACAGAGCCCAGCATTGATATCATAGTGGCCAGGAGGGAATGTCCCTGGGAGGCTGTGCAGGCAGTGGGAAGGAGGCCAAGAGTGTTCTGGAAGGCAGAGAAGCATGAGGACAGGGAGCAGGTGGCCCATGAGCCAGGTGCTGTGCAGGGTCAGGACCGCTGTGTCCCCTGGGTAGTGCACACAGGGACGCAGCAGGTATTTCAAGGGGATGGTGAGAAAAAGCCTAAGTCCAGTTGGATTCGAGGGGACAGCCCACTGTAGAAGCTGGACTGCCGGATGGCAGTTGGGGGGGCTTGGACTCTGGGGAGAGAGGGTTTGGTTTTTCGCTGCTGTTTTCTGGACCCTACCTGCCATTGCTCGGGGTGTTATTCCTGGTTTTGTACTCAGGACTTACTGCTGGAGGGGTATATGGGATATTGGGGCCATAGGGGTATTGGGGATCGAACCCGAGGCAGCCGCATACAAAGCAAGTTCCCTGCCCACTTACAATCTCTCCAGTCCTAGGTTCAACATTTTTAAAATATACTTATGTAGGGGTGGGCTAGAGCGATAGCACAACGGGTAGGGCGTTTGCCTTGCACACGGCCGACCCGGGTTTGATTTCTCCGTACCTCTCGGAGAGACAGGCAAACTACCGGAGTATCCAGCCCACACAGCAGAGCCTGGCAGGCTTCCTGTGGCGTATTCGATATGCCAAAAACAGTTACAAGTCTCACAATGGAGATGTTACTGGTGCCCGCTCAAGCAAATCGATGAACAACGGGGAGGACAGTGCTACAGCGCTACTGATGTAGGGGTGCGGGGGCGACACACCTGACAGTTTTAAGAGGCGATTCCTGGCTCTGCTCAGGAGTGCCCCCTGGTGGTTCTCAGGGGATCAACCTGGGATTGGCTGTGTGCGGTAACTGAGAGAGGGTTTTGAATTTTGGGTTCTTTTGGATTCAGTAACTGTGTTTTTGTGTTTTGGGGCCACACCCCGCGGTGCTCAGGGCTTACTCCTGGCTCTGTGCTCAGGAGTGTGGGCCGCTCCTGGCAGTTGCTTAGGGCAGGTATATGGTGCCAGGAATTGAAGCCTCACACATAGAAGGCAAGTGCTCTACTGCTGAGCGACACCTCCAGCCCTAGGATTTTGAAGATGAAAGGGATACTGCATTTAAAAAAGAGCCTGTCAGAGACCTGGCTAAGGGCAGAGGCTAAAAAGGGGCCCTGGCCTAGTAGTAACGGCTGGGATGTGCTTTGAGATCTGGCCTTTCTAGCCCCCACGGGCATTTCAGGGCCTTCTCAGGTGAGCAGGAAAGGGCCCACGAGAAGCCTCAAGATGAGGCTTTATTTGTACCAGGTGAGGAGAGGGAAGGAAACAGGGAAGCAGGTCACTAGAGGAATTTTCTAGAACACCTACACCTAACTTTGCCGAAATTGAGAGCCTGGGTCTTCTTTTTTGCTTTTTGGGTCACACCTGGCGATGCACAAGGGTTACTCCTGGCTCTGCACCACCCAGGAGTTACTCCTGGTGGTGCTCAGGGGACCATATGGGATGCTGGGAATCGAACCCAGGTCGGCCGCGTGCAAGGCAAACTCCCTACCCGCTGTGCTATCTCTCCAGCCCTGAGCCCGGGTCTTGTAGGGACTAATGGTCATGACTAGTGCACCCAAAGGATGCTCGTGGATCCTGTTCAGCTCCAAGAGCCATGGGCCTAGGGTGCGGCCCCTCCGACTTGGTCTCCAAAAACCTGTGAGGCACACAGATGCCAGGCAGCTCCCATGCAGCGTACCCTCTGCGGTAGAAGACTGCTCCCTTCCAGACCAGCCCATCCACCTGTATTTTCTGGTTGCTGAAAGGTGAGGAAGGTGCGCTTCGAACCTTGACGAGGCCAGCTCTCACAGGAAGGAGGAGCAGAGGAAATAAATGTGTCCATGCCCTTGGCTATCAGCCTGCCCTCTCCTGGAGTCCTTCCTGGCCTGCCCCTCTCGCTTGCTCCTGTCAACCCTGGCAGCACAGGCAGGGGCAGGTGACAGGGCCAGCAGGACCAGGCATGTGGCCTTGAGGAGAGCTGTGAGCTCATTGGTCCTCACTCTCTGCCACACACAACACTCCCATGGGTCAGAAAGGCGGGGGTTGGGCCCAGGGTTCCGCCTTCCTGCTTGAGCCCCAATCCTCAGTGGCGGTGCTTACGGCTATGTGGTCCACCTCCACCAGCAGCAAGGGTAGGTGGGGAGAAGGGTGTTGTTGCGGGGGGGGGGGGGGAGGTCAGGTGTTTTGGTGGAGTTCTGGGGTTATCATCCCAGCTCCAGCAGGAGCCAGTTGACCTGTGGCTTGTTTTCCTCCCATGAGGCGCTAGGGCAAGAGGGTCAGGGCCTGGGCAGGGCCAGTGGCCACCCCGGGAGAAAATGGGGCCAGACCGGGACTGCACCTTGGCCCCAAGGGGAGACGCGGTAAGACACCGCACCTAAGCTCCCTTCCCTGTCTGGGATCACAAGCCAACAAGGCCCTCCTGGTTTCCCGTCTGTCACAGAAGCTTGAAGCCAGTTTCTGCCTCACCGTCAGGTGGGCAGCAGACCGGTGTGAATTCCAACTCTGCCCCTCACCAGCCTTTTCTCTTCATTGGGAACAGGGGTGAAGTCTGGGGCACACTGATGGAGCCTGCACAGAGCCCTCAGCTCTCCTGGCCCTGCCCCAGGTACTTGCCCTGCTCACTCGTACAGGGTTGACAGGACTCCTCTTGCGGTGCTGAACAGAGTGAATTCCTCACGGGGGTGGGGCTGAGGGGGGTGGCGTAGGGCACTTGGGTATCTGCTGTCCGATTCACAGCTCAGTCTTGTTGGAGGCACTGCCAAAGTTGCCCAACGCCGAAACCCAGGGCGGCCTCATGTGGCCTGTGGGGACAGCAGCATCGGTGTCACTAGTCATCGTATCTGGTGAACTGTTCAGAGGGAGCAGCCAGGCACGTTCCAGCTCAGGGATGGTCTTGTGTCCCCTCCGCCAAGAACCATTAGTCGGCTTTTTTTGGAAACTTTTTTTTTAATAGTTATTGAATGTTCTACAGCTTACAGTAAATATCATAGTTACAAATTCTTGGCTTCAATCTTTCAGAGTGATCACTATCTGATCTTCGAAACAAAACTAAACAAAAGCCCAAAAGAATCCAAAACAACAGAACAAAACCAGATTTACATTTCATACACACAAGCGAGGCCATGGGGCTTTCCAATCTTTATACTCCAGGCTGTGTTCTGAAAACACCTCTAAGTTCTTTGTCAAACTACTTGGAAGACACCAGTCAAAAGTTTATTATTATTCTTATTATTTTAAATGTGTTTTTTTTTAAAATGTGAGTTCCAATAAAATTTAAAAATTAGATTCCAACCTGTGGATTAAAATGAATTAAAAAATACAAAATCATATACAGCGCTCTCACAGGGATGTTACATGCCATGAGAACAGGTTCCTGTCACGTCACAGGAAACAGGGATTCCTTTGAGTCAGGAATGGGGCGAGGGCATCACAGACAAACTCCCAGCTGCTCCAGGCCGGGCCTTTCTTCCCCTTGGTCTCCCCACAGAACTGATAAACGGCCACATGAGCTCCCCCTTTTCCTGACTCTCAGGTCTGAGGAGGGAGGCAGGCTGGAGCCTCAAGATGCTGGTCAGGCCCAGAGTGGATCCCACCACTGACTGCTCAGGGCTGGTCCTTATCTAGCAAAGCTCTAGTTCTGGTCACTTCCGGAAGGCACACACCCTTCCCGCAGGCACTAGGATGGCCTCTGGGTTGGAGTCCAGAGCATGAAAGGCAGAAAACCCTTTAGAGAAACTGAGGGAGGGGGACCCAAGTTTGGCTCAGGCAAGGCTGGATATGGAATGTTGAAGCTGGCCTGCTAGGAATTCTGAAGGCCGGGCCCTGTAACGTCTCATTTCAGAAGCAAACTCTCAGGCCGGGGAAGGTGTCAGGCAAGGGCAAGCTTGCAGCCGGCCTGCCGTGCTCAGAGCGGGCTGCAGAATCGGGTCAGTCAGCTGGCCGGGCTTCCTCTCCTGAGGGTCTGCTTTTGGAGGCCTGAATTCCCCCGGAGCCAACCCCACCTTTCACCCCATCTGCTCCTCCCCGAGTCCCAGGCTTGGCAAGTTGCAGAATACTACGCTCTCGGCGGCATGTCAGTTGGGAATGCAGTATCTTTTCACTCAGCTGCAACTGAGGCAGAATGCCAAGGGGACACATCGAAGATCCAGTCTGAAGGCCAGTGCCAACATCACCAAGACCCAGGCTTGGCCAGTGCCTCGCTGGGACTTGAGCCAGGTCGTCTGCTAGGTGAGGTAGCAGAACTTGCTGACCAAGGGCCTGCCCTACTTTTTGCTGCCTTTCCGAAGGCCACCAGAACAAAGCGAGCCCCTACGTGTGGCTGGGCGAGGGGACTCCACACCTGCAACCACCCACTGGCCCAGGAAGGAGTTAGGGTTGGGAGAGGGGCCACACTGCCTCCAGAACCTGTCTCAGGACAGCCAGCAGCACTGGCATCACCTGCGCTTCTCTGGTTATCAGACTGGCCCAAGGCCCCCCTCAGAGTGCCAATTCAAGGTGCTGGCCCAGGGGTGGGAAAGTGGGGTGTCCTATGTGACATCGGGCTTTGTGAGCTGCTAGCTAGACATGCCTCTGGGTCCCTAAGACCCCTCATGACCCTCTCCCAGCATTTGGAGGGACAGATTTCCCGCACCTTGGTGGCATCATCTGGGGGAGAGTTGGGGATCTGAGTGGGCAATTTTTCAAATCTTGGCTCTTTCTGCTCTGAGCGGTGAGACCTTTGGCAAATCTCTTAAGCTTTCTGAGACTCCAGGTTTTTGTTTTGTTTGTTTTCAAATCTAGAAAATAGGGGTTTTGGCAATATCTAAGTACTCTGTCGGGGCAAAACTGGATAGGCGCGTGTCAGGGGAGGGGGGCACGAGGGGACTGTGGGAACAAGGCGCTGCGGCTGCAACTGCTCTATCTCAAGGGAAAGACATTAAAATTGGGGGAGAAATGTGGCAGGAAGTTGGGTTTCAGGCTCTTACCACCTTAGGGCGCTCTCGCTTCCTAGGCCCCAGGCTGAGGAAGTTAGTCTGGTAGGAGTGGAAGAGGCCTAGGTTGGCTACTGGTGGGGGGGAACAGGACTGGGGGTAGGGAGACAGGCTGGTGACAGGGTTGTCACGCGGGCTTGTGACCTTCCTGCAATGACAGGGCCGTCTCCCAGGTCTGACTGACCACTGGGCCATTCAGATTCTTTGGATGACACCCACAGTGCCCCTGACAGACACCGTGACAAACTCCTACCAAGGGTGCCCACTACTTCTCCTGTCCTCCTGAGCTCAGTCACTTTGCAATGACCCCCCCAAGCTTGGCCAGGCTTGTGGATCTCAGTCAAAGCAAGAGGGCAAGGCCAGCAGAATCGGGGTTCCAATGCTGCGCTCCCCACGCCTGGGGACTGTGTCTGACCTTGAATTACAGAGCAGGCAGTGCTGAGGGAGGGCAAGGGCCCATCTGGAAGGCAAGGGGCAGCAGACAGACGGGATCTGGGCCTCTTATTGACAAGTCACTCTGCCTTTCGACTACGTTTATTTCCTCACCAGTCTTGCGGAACAATCAGCTATGCAGGGTTAAACCAGGTGGGGGATGTGAATCGCTCCATGAACTGTGAGACTAGAGGTGTTACTTGTGCAGAAAGAAGAAAAGTAACAGGTTGTTCATTACGGGGTCTCCTCCTCTTCCTCGCCAGTGACTCAGCCTAGCTCTCCCATGGGCATCAGGGCCTTCCAGACCCAGTGACCTCTCTGTCAGGTGGCCAGAACCACTGTGACCGTCTGAAGGCTGTGAAGTGTTTTGAAATGTATGAAGCACGTGGCGAATGCAATGGTTTCCTATGACTGCCATGATTATTTCGGCTTCTTCTAAACATGAATGACATAATCTAAAACCAACTTCATCCATCCTTACAGACTGGAGAATAGGAGGAGGCATTTGGGAGGGAAAAAAAAAAGATTAACACTGGAAAACGGTGTTTTAAAATGAAGCCTCTTCAGTACCCCAGGACAGACTGTTTAGAACGGCTGGTTCCTCCTCCCGGTCTTGCAGTTCCCTGAAAGGCCAAGAAGGTGGCCCCCAACTTCTGGGTCTGGACTCAGGGTGCTGAGCGATCAGTGATCAAGAAATGCTATTTCTTCACCTCTGGGGTCCTTCCAGCCCAGAGGTTTCTGATTTTTTTTTTTTCCTCCTTTAGGGAGACACGGAGGTAGGAAAAGGGATATGTCCAAGATTGCATGAATTTAAAATGAAAGGAGTTGTTTCAAAGTCCCAAATGTTATCAAGACCTCGTCTGTCCAGTGTCCCTGCCCTCAGCAGGTGTGCGGGGCCCCACCTTGTCCTCTCCCTGCTGGACGAGGGCTGCTGCCCTCAGCAGGGCCCCTGCGCTGCAGCCAGCCGCCTGCCCCCTTTCCCGGGGCCGGGCTGGCGGGAGAGATCCAGATGTCTTCACAGAATTTCCAAATGCTATTTCTTCATTTGCAATTTCCGTTCCTGCCATCTGCCCCCTGCGACCTCTGCCCACCGGCTGCGTGTGTGGAGGATAAAGAAGAGAAACAAAAGCCCGGAGAGCGTTCCAGAGCTCACCAGGTGTGGGCGCTGCTGACTTAATTTTTCAAGAAACCAAGCCCAGCCACCCCTAGCTACATTTTTCTCGGTCCCTTGCCCCTCGCAAGAGGAAGGCTGCATTGAATGCTAATTTCCAGGATTGCTAGGGAAGGTCTGTCATCTTCTTGCGCCTCCGCTTCCTCAGCTGTCAGTCAGGGCATGGATGAGAGGATGGCTAAGGTCCCTTCAGGTCCATGAGTCTATGAAATGTTTATTGCTTTTCCTTCACTATCCTGACTTCAGAGCCGCCAGCATCTCCCTGGAATGTGGTACCTTCGCTTTGGCCATGGATGGCCTAAGTAACCAAGGCCTCGGCTTGTCTGGCAGTCCCAACGACCAACGGGCAAGCCCTGGCATAGGAAGGGCAGGGAGGGGAGATATGCCAGAGGTTTCGACTCTCATCAGGAGTGGGTCTGTGGAACTGATGTGGCCCCGGTCTTCTGAGGCTTTAGGAGGCTGGGATCTGAGGCCAGAAAGCTGCTGGCAGGTCTGAGGTCAAAACCACCTTCTGAGGAAATGCCAGGTCAGTTAGCATCCTGTGCAAATCAGAGGGCCCAGGCCCAGACTATGTGGTCACAGACCTGACCACAAGCAGACACGGACCTCTCCCCTCTTCTTCCCTCAGGCCCTTCTCCCACCCCCCTCAAGTTCTCCCCAAATAAGAATCTGGTATTCCCAGGATCTCAGTCCAGGGTGTTAAGCTGCTATGAATATTCCTACGTATCGGGTGGTTCTGTTCTTGCTCTGTTGTTGCAATGGTTCTCAGAAGACATACATTTTGTGAGAAGACATGGCAATGGCCTAAACTAATCTCACTGAAGAAAAATCAAAAAAGAAGGAATCGCCCAGAGAATGTGGCTGGTTCCAGAGCTCAGAGTGCTGATCCTGGATGGCGCCACGTCTTCCCTGCTGGGCAAAGGAAACGGAACCTTCTGTGGAACCACTACAACATGCCCCACTCTCTCCTGCCCCCAGACTGGGGGGCCTGGGGCCTGGACACTCGGGAAGGAAAGAAGAGCTGAGGGAATGTGCCTGGTCAGGAAGGAGAGGGGGAAGGGCAGAACTGGAAGGGCAGCGGCCAAAGGGAGACAGTGGGAGAGGGTATTTAGAAAAAGCAGCTTTAACAAAAACCAAAGCTAAAACCAAAAACCACTAAAGATGCATAAAGTGACCCTTGCACTTCCGTTCTCTTCTTGCAAGTAGAGGTGGTGCTGCTAGGGGACTGCTCCAGCACCGGTGTAAGACTTGAGTAGTTGCATACAATGTGGGGCTCCAGACCTGGGGGACGGACAGGGACAAACCGCGAGTCACGTCAGGAAGCCCCTGGAGCCCCCCCTGAGCCCTCTGCTGCGTCCTGCCCAGTGCCCAGCTCTCCTCTAGCTGAGGACGAGCGGGGGGAGGGTTTCAGGGTGACACCCTGTGGAAGAGGGTTTTGCTCTAGGTGGCTGCCAACATTGACGCAGTAAGAGTTCCCATGCAGGCCAGCATGACAGTCCGGAGCCAGGCAGCGGCGAGCACAGTTCTCAGGCCTCGGCCTGAGTCCAAGGCCCAACTTCACTATTAGGGGTCCAGCTGCACTGCCGAGATCTGCACTTACGTGGAAACTAGAGCCACTCACTTTTTTCTTTTTGGCTTTTTTTTGGGGGGGCACACCCAGGGATGCTCAGGAGTTACTCCTGGCTCTGCACTCAGGAATCACTCCTGGTAGTGCTTGGGGGACCACATGTGGGGCCAGGGACCAAGCAGGCAAGCGCCCTCCCTGCTGGACTGCTGTCACAGAGCTACCTGAGCTACCATGGGACCAGGTGGCTGGGGAACACCACTGCTCACAGCGGTCTTACCGGACGGGAGGCAGACCCCCACCCCCTGCAGGGCCCCACTCACTTGGATGGACGGCAGGCTTTACCAGTGTGGGGGCACATAGCTGTACGCAGGGGTCCCTTGGGCCCTGTATGTTGGCATGGAGACAGGGTGAGCCCCAATCGCGGTGTGCTGGGGAGCAGTCAGCAGGGTACCTGAGGATCCAGAGAGAGTGATGCTGAGGGGATGCTGGGGTGCAGGGCTGAAGAGGGCACAGCTCCTCCCAGCCTCCTCCCTGCCAGCTGATCTCCAGGAAGGTCTCCCGGACGCATGGGGCTGGGTCCCCATCAGACCCTTCCTGTCTGTGAGTGCGGGTTTGCCTGATTAGGTTCCCACTAACTTAGTTGTTCCTGAAGGCAGGACCCTAGTCCCAACTACCAGAATCCATCGGTCTGCGCCCTAGTGCCCAAAGAGCAATAGCTTACTCACTGGTTCAGGGGAATGAGGCCCCGGCAACCCCTCAGGGGAAGAATACGCCCCCTCCTACCACCTCATCCCTGTACTCTCTTCCCTCTGCCGATTCTTTGAAAGTTGGGCCTCGAGCGGTTATTCGTGGCTCTCTTGTTCCTATGCCATCCAAACACTTCCTGATTCTGCTCTTCCTCTGGCATCTCTCTCGCCATCCTCCAAGTTTCTAACGGGCGCTGGGCTGTTGCCTGGTGAAAATCCTAAATGGAGAAGGACGGGGCCCCCGGACCTGCTTCTACCCTAGTGTGCTATTCACTGTGGACAGGCTCTGAAGTGCTTAGGTCAGTTATTTGTTATAATCTGCCATGATATTACCTAGCTGAAGAAGACATACATCATTCATATACCGTTGGACCAAGGAAGGGTTAAAAGAGTCAGTGTCAGACCCTGAAATTTAAAGGGCAATCACTGTGCTGGCGACAGGCCCAGGGTCTGGTAGCTAAGTAGAGACAGTCTGCTCCTGTCAGAGGCGTGGCTGTAACTGAAGTGAAGCCTTATCGATGTGAGTCTGTAAACTGTATCTTGTTTGAAATGTAAGTAAAACCGCAGTGCCTCTTGTCGGATCTTAATTGAGTGTAGTTTTAGAGTACAAATGCAACCTCATTTTTTGTATCATTTGTTCAGTGGGTTAGAGACCCACGACCCCTCGCGATCCCTGGGCTCATCACGATGAGATAAACTTCTCGCTTCCTCCCCTTCTGTGCCTCGGCTCTTCCTCGTGTGCTGGCGACCTTGGGCATAACACTGCCTGCAGGACAGCAATGCTTGGTGCCCTTTGTTTTCTGGAATCCTGTGGCTCTGAGTGCTAACATCCTCCTCTCTCCTCTGACCTACAGGCTCCCCAGGGACCTACCAGCAGCCAGAGAGAATGTTTAAGCCAACCCCCCATGGCTCTGCTTAAATTCCTTTGCTGGCTCCCTGTCACTGACAGGTACTCAAACTTCTTCACTTTCTGTGCCAGCCCCTCTGGTCACCCTTTCAACTCTATTACCTGTCATCTAAGCTTGGGGATATGTCACGCTCTTGCTCCTTCTGTCTGGGCTGCCTTCCCCCTCCTTATCCCTCTGGCTCGTCTCTGTTGTCCCCTGAAGGGCCAGTTCAACAGGCCCTACTCAGTGGCACCCTCCTGATCCTTGAGGGCAGATTTCTCTGTTTACTTATTTATTTTCAGTTTTGGGGCCAAGCCCTGCAGTGTTCTTGGGCTACTCCTGGCTCAGTGCTCAGGAAGCCCTGGAATGCTAGGGACAGACCCTGGGCCTCCTGAGTGCAAAATATGTGCTCAGTCTGTTGAGCCTGAGAACATATTTTGAGGGGCGTTGCCCTGGGTTCCCAGAACCCTCTGGTCACGGGATTTCTCATGCTGGGTCGCAGTCAATGCCTAGACTGGGTTCCAAATTGTCAAGAGTTCCTGGGGGACAGAAACGGGACCTGCCCTCACCTGCTGACATGGCCATGGTGGTACCTGCCACCATGCCCATGGCCACGCCGTTGGTCCTGGGAGCAGCAACGGGGGCCGGGTAGATGGCGGAGGGGATGCTGTTGGGCTGGACGACCGTGGTGTGGTGGATGACGTGGGGCTGGGCAGCGTACACGGGCTGTGTGTAGTAGGCTCCCTGCGGAAAAAGGCCACGCTTAAGTATGGTGACAGCTGTCGGAGCTCCTGAACACACCTGGCAACGTCCAGACGCTGCTCCTGGCTCTGCACCCCAGGGCCAACCCTGGCGGTGAGGGGCCAGGGAGCAAACCCGGGCAGCATGAGCTCAGTCCGTGGGCCTGACTCTGCGGTCCTCACTCAGGTGCCAGGATGCGAGAGGAGAGAGGGACCCCATCTCCCCCTCCCCCGACCCAAAGGAACACGAGCCCAGAGAGACGGGTGGAGGCCTGGCTGGGCCTCTGCTCCTGCCTTACTTCCTGCCAATGAACAGTGCTGGACTCAGCTGGTCTGGAACAGAGGTGCTATCCTACCTGTTCCTGGGTGACAGTTCTGCCCCCCAAACCCTGATTCTGTCCTTTTCAAATATTGATGGCGTACAGCAGCCTGCCTCCTAAGCTGCCAAAACCACATCCTTCTGCAAGCCCAGAGCACTGTACCAAGGCCAGACCAGAGGAGAGGCCCCTGAGAATTAGGGCTTACTATCTGCTTCCCTTTAGACAAAAAGATGAGGTGGGGAGAAGGATCTGGGGTGACAGCCGCTGTCTGGGTCACGCGCTGCTGCTCGCAACTGCAGACCACATTTCAGCTGACCTTTGGGTCAGTGAGACGGCATGGCCCTGCTGCTTCTTGGTTCTGAGGCCGTCAATAGTTTCTATTATGTAATGACCAGATTTTCAGAATGCATGGGGGCAAATGAAGGGCCGCAGGGCACACCCTCAACAAGGAAAATGGATCCCAAGCTCCTCCTGGACTCCTGAAAAATCTGACATTCTATCTGGCGATGGTGGTAGTGTATGTAACTTGGTTCACCAAAAGCATAAATGTTAACACTGCTGTAAAACACACCACCTCAATAATAAAATAGAAATAAAATATAAAGCCCCATATATTTAAAAAAAAAGGCAACCTATTTTGTTTATAAGAATGCTTTCTCTTGGCTCTGTGCTCAAGGATCACTCCTGGCGGGCTCAGGAATCGTATATGGTACTGGGGATCAAACCCAGGCCAGCCACTTGCAAGCCAAGTGTCCTGCCCACTGTACTCTCTCTCTCTCTGGCCCTCCAATACAGTTGTTTTTCCATCACTTCCATTAGTGCAGAATTACCCCCACTCCCACCCCGTGTGCACAGAGGAAGATGAAGAGCCTCTCTTGAGTCCAGAGCCCAGTGCACGAAGGCACAGAGAAGCGTTCGCCTGCTTGCGGTGATACCAGGAACTGGTGTCAGAGTCTGGACACATATCCTACCCCTGTTCAGCTAAGATTCCATCCAGGAGGGATAAATGTGGGAGTCAGGGCCAAAGGCCCAAGACATGCACAGTTCTTTGATGACAACCAGTGCTTGTGTGACTCTGGATAAGTCACTTCCCTCTCTGGCTCTCAGTTTCTCTGTGCAAAAAGAGGTTAAGTAAGATGGCCTACAGGGACCCCCAGCCCCGACATTCTGAGCCCAGGGGCGGAGTGGGGAGGGTGCAGGCTACCGAACTAGTGTTTCCAGGGCACAAGTCACAGCTCCACAGCGGCCAGAACCATCACCTCTCCCTGCCCATCCCCCCCTCCAGCCGGAGACTCCTTTACCTGCAGCAGAGGTGGGCTCAGGTGTCCATGCGCACCTACCTGGGCATACAGATTCTGCTGGGGGTAGGCACTTCTGATGGGATACATGGCCGTCTGATAGGGGTTGGGTGATGGGGAGTAGGGGGGTGGAGCAGTGTTACTCTGGGTCGGCGGGACCTTGTACGGTGTCCCTGCAGTGTATCCTGTACCAAGGCGATAAGAGAGACTTCCAGTTAGTTGGCAGAAGGACATGGCTGGAAGGCAGCAGGGCTGAGTCTGGGCTGGAAACAAACAGGCACGGATGGATAACAGGGCTCTCCCCGAGGCAGCTCCCTCAGTCCTGGTGCTCAGCGTGGCTTGTGTGACTGGCCTAATCCTCTGGATCACGGGGCGCCTTTCTATGGGAGGACAGGACTAGTAGTTGTTGCTGTTTTTCCCTCCTGGGGGTGTCTCCCAAACGGTGCTCAGGAGGCCTGGAGACTTCACTAGCAATTCTCAATTCTGGACCTGTGGTTCAGTGCAAGGGCCTGAGGATGCGATGGTGCTCCGAGGACCATGTGGGTTGGGTGGGAACCCTGTGCCCTAACAGCTGTACAATCTCCAGCCCCAAGGACCCGCTGACTTCATTTTTTGGGGTTTATCTTGTCTTGTTTTGGGGACCACATCTGGCGATGCTCAGGACTTACTCCTGGCTCTATACTCAGGGGACCATATGGATGCTAGGGATGGAACCTGGGTCAGCTGTGTGCAAGACAAACTGATAATACAAGACAAGGTTGTATTATCGCTCCGTCCCCCACTGGCTGACTTCTAAGAGAACACTGCAGGTGGACAGCCTGGGGCGGAGAGCTGAGCACCGTGGACAGGCGGTTGTGCAGGGGTGGGAGAGCGTCAGCTGCCCGCTCTGGGTTGTACCATCTCGCCTTTGTCTCAGCACCCCAAGGCATCTTCTGTTGCTCTTTCTGTCTTTTGGCTTCCGTCCCCCTCACTCTCTTTTCCTTGTATTTCTCTATTTTAAGGGTTCCCAACACAAGTTTCCTCTTCCTCCGTGCCAAGTTTTAAGGTAGACACCCATCCATAAGCCCAGGCAGTGTGCCTCATCTGGGAAGTGGAAACATTTTGCCCTAGATCTCCCCTCAACTCTCTTGGGGGGCCGCCTCTGCCTGAAGTATGAAGTTGAGTCACATGAAAGTCAATGATGACCCGGAGACAACACCACATTGGTACCTCAGCAGTGGTGGACAAAAGCTGGGGCTGGGACAGAGAGGTCAGGTGCCAAGAAGCTCATGATCAACATTCCAACAAACAGTGCTACCTCTGAATATTCAAGAAAGGAGAGATTGAACCTGAGTTCAACCGGGGGAGAATGTGAAGCTCATAAACGAGACTGTTCTTAGAAGATCACAAAATGGAATTACTTGATGGAGCCCAAGTGACCACATCATCAAGCGTGCCCCATCTCTCTCCCGTCATACAACAGGGCCCTGGGCTCAGCAAAGGTTGGTCTTGGGGGGCTGTCTCCTCTCTGTGCTGCAGGCACAGTGCCTGGGGAGGCTGGCTGTGGAGCCCCCGTGTATGCCTGGGGCTTTGCCCGGGAGCCCGTCCTATCTTGTCGCCTGACAGACCACTTGACTTCTCTTCGTCTTGGCTCTTTTTCCTACAAAATGCTCCTCAAGGACCTTTTTAGCAGTATGATGCTATTTCTGCCAAGAATTGGGGGACAGAATGGAAAGGTAGAGTATGGGACGAGAGGGGACTGAGGTTCCGGTCTAAGCTTTCCCCTCGTTTACTAAGACTATCATTAACTGTTATTTTGTTTGTCAAAGGACTAAGGACAAGGATCTCTTCCTGAACTTAAAATCCACAGTTTTTTTTTTGGGGGGTGGTGGTACACCTGCTGGTGATCAGGGTTCACCCCTGGCTCCTGGCAGGGCTTGGGGGACCATATGGGGTGCGGATCAAACCCCAGTCTGCCGTGTGCAAGGCAAGAGCCTTCTTGCTGTACTATCACTCTGGCCCTAAAGCCCTATTTTCAAGGGTTCTGCATCTCTTCTGCCCTGAGCCCGGGTGAATGGATGCTGTTATCTGGCTTCTAGCTCTCAGCTTTGGTGGGGCCTCTCCCTGCCCGCAACGTGTGGGAACCGCTGGTTAGTTGCCACAAGAGCTGCCCTGTCCTCTCCCGAGGATAAAAGCCATTTCTCTTTCTACCTGCTGATTGAGAGTTCTGATGATGAGTTATGATAAACTGGTTTTGTGATCGAATCTGTTTGCAAGGTGAGTAGCTGTAGAGTGGAAATAACGCATTCCAGAGCAGGCAGCACTGGTGAGTCAGAAACTAACTGCAATGGAGCTGCAAGTGAGTCAGGGGCAGATGCCCAGGCCAGACTCCTCCAGGAATGCAGACTGCGGAGTCTACTGTGAACTGTGGTCACAGACGCAGGGCAGTCTTGGGGGCGACAAGAAGCCTGGGTCAGCGGGCATGTGGAAGCAGGGCTTTACTTTGGAGTGAGTTTATACATATGTAAAACCAAGGCTGCTCAAGATGTTCGTGTCTCAGGAATATACCACAGGCCGTGACTACAAGGGACCTTAATCATTTTGCTCAAAGAAAAAGGTGCAGCAGGGCCGTCACCGAACTGGGGGCCCAGATGGCTGAGTATCACCATGAGTAACCCTGGAGCACTGCTGGGGAAATCCCAAAGAGAGAGAGAAAAAAAAAAGAAAAAGAAAAAAGAAAAATACAAAGAAAGAATGAAAAAAAAAGGACGAGAGGCAGCAGTGTAAAAGAGATATTACATTTGTCTCTGATTCTATGACCCTGAGAAGTTTATTAATGACAAGAACAAACTGAATCTCTAAGATACGGATCTGCAGGAGGAGACTATTTCCAAATCTGTTTTACCTCAGAACCTTTTCTCCACATGATTAGCATTTAAAACAGACAAAATAGGGTTCTTTTAATTGCAGTGTTTTTGGTAAATGGAATTTCACCAGAAGCCAGCCACCCCAAGCATTACCACATGGGCTGCGGCTGCTTTCCTGCTGTTAGTGGTAGTTAGGACAGAGACCACATACCCCAGAAAGCCTAAAATATCTATATTATTGGACCTTTATAAGAAAAGTCTGCCTACTTCTGATTTTTGTTTTATTTTGTTTTGGGGTGACGCTGGCAGAGTTCAGGGGCTACTCCCAGCTCTGGGCTTGGGGAAACAATGCTGTGTTGGAGGTGGAACTCAGGCTTCCTGCCTGCAAAGTACAGAGTCTGGTCCTTTGCATCCTCCCCCCGCCAACCGAGTCCTGATTTAAAGGAGTAACACAAAGATGAAGAGTCCTGCCAGAGTGGAGAACACTTCTTCTATGTGCGGGCAGGTCACCACTGAACCCCAAAGTGCCAGTCTCTGAGGGCTCTACTATGCTAAAGCTATTTATCACTGAATAATGGTTATGGATAGTCTGGAGCCCAGCCTGCCGCCTGGGTGCAAGCCCCAGCCCTGGCAGAGCAAATTCTTCATCTGTCAAGTAGGAATAAAGAAGAAAACCTACTTCACTGGTACTACCAGGGTAATCCGTGAGAAATGCATTGAGAGGTGCAACTCCTTCAGACTGGTTAGCACTTCATACAGATTGGTTGGCATCCTTTTCAATCACTTCAGATAGACTAAGTTTCGGGTCTGGTGTGGGGGTATGTGAAAGCAGAGGCTGGTCTGAGAGGATACAGTGATACAGGAGGTTAAACTCTACGGTTACACTTTTGCTCTCTCTGGTGCATTCCGATGTGAAACAAAGATTTCTGGAATCTAAGATTCTAAAATTATATGGCTTTAAAAAGCCGTGATTTTATGCTTCTTTAAAGTTAACAAGCCAACAATGCCAGCAACTTTCCTTTAGGCTCTGAGAATGTGTTCTGGAGTTTTTATCTCGAGGGAAGTCTGCACTCCCCCCTCTGCCATCCTTACAGCATCTTACAAAGTGTTGAGATTACTCCTCTGAGGAAAATCAAAGGCTCCCAGAGACTGCGGTAGAATTTGGCTTCTATGTTTAAGAATAACCTTGTCTGAGAATGCTTCCCTTTCTTTATGTTATGAAATCAGACACAAGCACACTCGGAATACAAATCAGGAGCTAGAAACACCCCTGACAGTGGAAGGGAGACCACTGAAGAAGGTCTTGCTTATTCATCCCCACAATTTGCTGCAGAGTGAGACATCAGCAAGCCTAATGCAACCATTTCACAGAGGCGCTCAGAAACAGATGCTGAGAGTGAGGGGACAGGGATTCTGACTGCCAGCCAGGACCCCAACCAGGACCCACAATGGGTTTCCAAGTTATTGAACAGTCAGGAAGCTGCAGAAATCACCCTTGGTTCCCCTTCTGAGCGCTGTCTGGGAATCAGGTCAATCCTTCTCTCCAGGATGAGAAGCTGTCAGAGGAACTTTCTGGTACTGATGTTCTAAGTCTCAGTACTTCAGTGACACTCTTATGAGAAAAATTATTGCAGAGGACTTTCCATAGCTGACTGGTGATCCCTTGAAGATCCCTGAAAATCTTGCCTTGATTATCACAAAATTCAGGATTTATTACTTTGTGCAACTCAAGAGAAAGAAGCTAGGGGGTTGGGTTAAAATAAGAAGTACCAGATTTTATTCAAATAAATTTGGACTCAACTCACCTACTTATGAGTGATTTTCCTTCGAGTCCGAAGGTCACAGAATCAGGTCTGTGGGAAGTCCTTAAGGACAACTTTGAACCCAGTCAAGACTTCGATTAACACTCCATTTAAGATAAAGAGCCTGGAGCCCAGAGGGACACTGGCGTTCTCACAATCAGACAACAAATCAAGCAGAGCTGGGCCTCCAGTTCAGGGCTTATCACATCTCAGGCAATGTTCCCTTCTGAGTTATAGGTCTCTGCAGTGCAATTTTGGACACTGCTGTACTGGCCTTTGTGTCCCCATTTTGCTAAAGGCAGTAACATGAGAGAAAAAGAAATCTGTCCACTACTCTCCCCACCTCTGCCTTATGAACGAGGCGTGCTTAGGATGTCCTGTCCTTTCCCTTTGGTTTCTAATCGTAATTTTAGGCTCCATCAAACAGGATAATAAAGAGTGTGTACACATTAGCAAGGTAAAACCTTTTCATCCTTTTCTTTTCAATCCTCCTCACTGTCATAAATCTTTTCCAGCTGTGCAGCTCCCACCACCATCAAAGGCATTGACTATCACATCAAGGATGCCTTTTAGACTAATCAGTATATTGATCAACAGATTTATATGTCTGGACTGTGCTCTATGTCTGATTCTTGCCATGACCCCCAAGTCTCCTTGTTGGGAGTTGAACAAGAGAGAAACGAGTAAGTAGGAGGAAGACCTGATTAAAAGCAGGTTTAGCAAATATTGGTGAAATTGAGAAGAATCAGTGGAGGTGCCCTGATTTTCTGTAGCTTTAGAAGTTACAGACTCCATGTGTTGGGAGGGACCCTAGTGGGTATGAAGACCAGTCAATTAATTCCACTGCTATTTAATAAGTGGATTATTTGGACCAGAGTGGTAGTATAGCAGGTAGGGTGCTTACCTTGCTCGAAGCTAATCCAGGTTCAATCCCCAGCACCCCACAAAGCCCCCTGAGCAATACCAGAGTGATCTCTGAGCACAAAACCCTGAGCACCATCAGATATTGACCCAGAACACAAAGACGAAACAAAATAAAAATGAAAAATGTAAACATATCATTTGCTTCAAAAAGGATCACATCTTTATCCTTTCTGGGTATTGTAGTAGCACATAGCTACTGGGTATTTCAATGGGACTTTAGGAAGTTTTCAACCAGTAGAAGGCTAAGTCATTTAACACTAATATTCACTCACCTCTGGAGGAATGAGTACCCAATACTGGAAGACATGTGGACACAGGCGACTTGGTTAATACTCATGAGAGCTAGAGAAGGGGTCCCTACTGCGGTATAGGATATTGCTACACAGCACTGACTAACAGAACAAAAGGTCTAATATCTCAAGAGAACCTGGAAGATGTATCTAGTCTAGTTCCCTCAGCTGAGAGTTGGAAACATCCAGGTCCAGAGCATAGACAGGGACCATCTAAAGTTTCACAGAACAAGTCCAGGTCAATTATTCTAGCCTCCCACCCAGTCTCTGCTATGATACAAGTGACTATTAGCATTTATATGCAAATTAATGTGATTATCATTTGCATATACAATGCCTTCTATGTTAACCAGATTCCACTTGAGTTCTCTGGAAAAACACTCTATTGCTGCCAATTCTCTTAAACTCCTTCAGGGGTCAAACGAATGTCCAAAAGTTTCAGTGATATGGGGTTAGAGTGATAGCACAGTGAATTAGGGGGTGCTTGCCTTGCAACACAACCTACCCAGGTTCTATCCCTGGCACTTCATATGGTCATCCAGGCACTCCAAGAGTAATTCCTGAACTAAGAGCCAGGAGTAACCCCTGAGCACCTCTGGGTGTGGCCCCAAAACAAAATAAAACAAAACAAAACAAAAATAAAAAGTAGAAGAAAAATTTTAGCGACAGACACTTGACCTGCGTGTTATTTTTAACTAATTCTGTGGCATCCTGTCTAAGTTGGATGGCACAACTTAAATGGTCAAATACCTTTCTATGCCTGGTATTCAAAGTGGAATAAAAACTAGCCCAAATAATAGGATTTTGCTGCAGATTAAATGAGTGGATGATGATGAAAGCATATTTTCCAAAACGTGAAAGTTAACACTGCATAAAGTTAAGCTGATAATGACATTTGGAGGCAATAAAAACTAAGGAGTGAAGGACATTGGGTATTTTAAAGAAAAAGAAAAAAAATAATACTGGAGCCTATTAATCTACTTATTAACAGATTAATACTAATCCACTGAGTCACAGACCATCAGGTCTAGCCTGCAACACTCCTCCCAGGGCTTGTCAGAGCTGCTGGACCATTAGCTGAGGGGCTCCCACATCACATCAGCCCTACCTCTTCCAGCAGCTGCACAGACATGCAACTCTCCTTTCCATGGAGTCAAAATGCACCTTGTACCTCATTTTATCTATTGGAGCCATTTTGTGTCAAAAATTAGAACGTGACCAATCTAAAGGGCCAACGATTTCTTTTTTGGGGAGGGTGGTATGGTGGCTGGGCTACGTCCAACAGTGCTCAGGGCTACTCTCGGCTCTGTGTTCTGTGCTTAAGGGATGCTATTAAATAGTCTACAAGGCACAGGACCGTTCCCTACAATCAAGAATGATCTGGTCTAAATGTTACTAGTGCTGAATCGGAGCACCCTCACACTAGATGAAGGAGCCATTATGTCAAACGTGTTCTTGAGACATAATAAATGGTCCTTCCTTAATGTACCTTGTTGATCAGAGGAGTAGACCTTTCACCACCCTTCCCCCTCCCTGCTGTCTGTTTCCCTCAAACTGGGGGTACTCGGTAAAGTGGGTAACCTTTCCTGTGGAAGGAGGACCATTTGTGTGCGTGCGTGCACGTATGCACCACCCCTTAAATACCACCTTATAAATATCATTTAGAAACGTTCCCTTTCCTTCCTAAGAGATACTGTGCAACCAAGGGGAACAAGGGAAGGAGGAGACAGGCTGTATTTACTGAAAGCCGCAGAGGAAGCTTGGTAAGTTCGGTTCTCGGTCCCGGTGTCCACTGGGAGGTGGAAGGTGCCTTCGGTGCCACAGGAAGATGAGTTCTGTGGCCAGGCCTGTTTCATCAGCAGAGTTGCTTAACGGAAGACATAAGAAGGGCATTAGACAGAAACAAGAAGTGAGCACCACCCAAGACAGACACAAAGCAAGGGGCTTATGCTGGACAGAAACATACAGCCCACGGGCTCTATTCACACAAACAGGATGGTTTAGCCTTTCTGAGATGGGTGAGAGGGTGGGGGGAGGGCTAACGTGAGTTTCTGAATGAGCTGAAACAGAAAACCAGAATTTATACTGAGAGTCATGATTTTCCACCTACTAACTCTAACAGAAACCATGAGGAAGCCCATGAATACCGCCTTCTGCTGCCTGGCAGTCTGCCTGGGGGCTCGGACATCCCTGAGCTACTTTCTCATTAGTGCAGAGTGGCCTGGTGTCCTTGCCTGTGCTGAGTCAGATCAAATGAGTATTCTTTATGCCTGGGATCTATAATCTAGGGGTAGAGTTAATGAGTTGCTTTCAAAGGGAGACCCCAAAATAACTACCACCTGACATAACCTTGCTGGGCCTCATCTCTGCTAAGGGGCTCTGGTGGCTTCGAGGACATTCCTCCTCCTCCTCTTGCACACATAATAGAGCCAGACAATCTCTTGCATATTCCTGCACCTTCTGCTGATGTGCCAATAGGTGTGCCATCTGTGAGATCACTCATGAATGAGAGATGGCATATTAAGAGATGGCCTTTGGGGGGCAGGGGATGTGGTGGGAGTAGTGGGTTGGGCCACACCCAGCTCAGAGGCTACTCCTAGCTATGCTAAGGAGTGACCCCAGTGGTCCTTGGAAGACCATATGGAGTGCTAGGGACCAAACCAGCGCTTGATGCAGGCAAGGTAAGCGCCTTACCCCCTGTATTAGCTCTCTGGCCTTTAAACCATTGAAAAAGTAAATGTCAAACTTGGGGTAGGTGTGAAACAGGAATGAGGCCAGAGTGGAATCCACTGAGACTGCCCAGACTGACTCAAAGCTCAGTTTGACAAATTTGGAGAATAATGCTTCATAGTAGAAGTAGGGAACAACTGGGAAAAAAAAAAGAACAACAACAAAAAAAAAACAAAAACTTACCTTCATGGTATCCTGTGAGGAAGGAGAGAGGAAATAGGGTTTCAAAGGGGGGGAAATGCCTAACTTTAAAAATATTTTCCTTCATATACTTTTAATAGTGGGGGAAAAAAAGAACAGTATTTTGGGTTCATATACGGTTTGGGGAGTCATGGATATGGGACGTTAAGTATATTAGCAGGAAGTGGGGCTGCACTGGTGGCGGTAGAGTATACTAGACACAATTCTTTAACAAGGAGATGCTGTGAAACAGGGTGGTATGAGATGACAGTTTGCCTAACACTTTAATTCCACCAGGACAAGGATCATCTACCTCTATAGAGATTCCATCAGTGCCTCTGTCTGTCCACCTAACAAGAAAGCCTGGCTCCTTCCAGGTTGGAATTAAGAAACCAGAGGAAGAGGTCCTAGCAAAGGACTACACTGTGTGGGCTGAGCCTGAATCAGGTGTGGAGCTGTTCTGGGCAGACCTGTGCTTGTATTCATGGCCCGCAATATATACAGCAGATGCCAAAAAATGAGAAGAAAATCATGGGCAGGAAAGTGACACTAAAAGGAGAATTCTGGTAAAAGAAATGAAAACCCAGCAGAATTCCATGCAGAGTTGAAGGACTTTGCTAGAAATTAAGACATAGCTCTGCTAACAATGCAGGAGGAAAGGGCTACAGTTTTTAAACAATACCTTGTGTTTTTTCTCGTGGATGGGGGTTGGGGGGCTATGAAAAAATCCAATGAGGACTGAAAGATCTTATCAAAACGTCTCCAAATTTAGAACCTGCCACTCCATGTGGCTGGAAAACCCTGGCCACCCCAAACAAGCGCAACCAGTGGCTCTGACACATTAGAGACTCACGAGCCCACAAGCACTTCAGAGAGCAAGAGGCTTGAATCTGGGTGCAGAGAATTTGCAGAATTTGGAGGTTCTGGGCTGGTCTAGGTTCGCTCCCCACCACCCCACCCCGCCGCAGTAATTTTCATCTTAAGCCAAAAGTCTGACATTAGCCTGAAGGATTGTGTGACAAAGTAAATAAAATTAACCAACGTGTGAGGCCTACACTGCCCCCAATGCTACGGTGGTCAGGAACATACGTGACACACAAGGGTCACGGTTACTGCACACAAGGTACTTATGGTCTAGCTGGGATGCAACACAGCCACACGCCGACAAGAAAGTGAACAAGACAGCATTACACAGAGTCAATAACATTCCAGATTAATCAACAAAGAAGCAGGTGCGCCTGTGCCTTTGATTATGTCTTTCTTGACTCACCATGTGAACTAAACTATACATGTTCATGAAAAAGTATGTATTTTCTTCTGGTTTCATCATAAATACCATATTAGAATTTTCTCTATTCCATGTATGTTTTAATAATTAATAAATACTGGATAAATAGGAAGGCTGAAAACAAGACCACTACATATTAGCAGCCACCTTAATTTTTTATCATGCTGCATCATGCATCATGATAGCTGCATCACTGCCAGTTGGTGGAGCCATTCAGAGTTCAGCCATAGGATGTGGATAGTCCAGCAGACGCTTTTAGAAACATGGGAATAGAGAAGCTGCTCCGGCAGGCACGTTTGCTCTGCCAGGCCATGAAAGGTGCTAAGCCCAAGAAATGCTTCACAGTTTGAACTGATTGGTAAATGCAAGTGTGTCAAACGTTATTTAAGCTGTACACGTGAGACTAGTGTGCTTTATGAACTACTGTATGTGCTTTTCTGAGAGAGAGAGCGAGAGCAAGAGCGAGCGAGGGAGAGGGACAGGGAGACAGAACAAACCCTCGGCAGTGAAGGGCCGTGGCCCACTCACAGCGTGCTGCCCACATCCAGCTGCTGGGTTGTTCACTTCCCCGGACATGGGGCCCTCATGCCCTTTGACACTTGAACAATCTGTTAAGAACATTTACGAGAAGGAGAGGCAGCAAGGGACCATCACTCTGAACAATGCAGTAAGTCAGGAAATCTGAGTTCTAGCCTGGGCTCTGCCACTGGTTAGCTGTGGGACCTTGGGCAAGTCACTGGAGCTTCCTAAGCTTCAATCTCGAGTTCTCATAAGATGGAAATAACAAGCACTCCCACATCACCTCGGAGCGCTCATGGAAGAGTCAAAAATAAAGTGTCACCCACTCTTCCAGGTGTCTCTGCTTTTATCCGGGAATGGAACCCAGGGCCTCGTACCAGCAAAGCCTCTGCTCTACTCCTGAGCCAGTCGCACCCTGGGATTCTGAGTCCTGCTGTGGGTTGACTCTTCCACCCCCATGCTTTGTGCAGCTCCAGTTAAGCTCTCACTGAAATCACTGCTGCTTTCTTACTGCTCTGACTGTTCTTAAGTCTGCCCGTGCTAATCTCTAAACTACGACAGTGGCCTTTCTAAGACCTAAACACAAACCTTTCTTGAAATGTCCCCTGGTTCACTACTGCCTAAGTATGGCTCTCAAGACCACTCATTGAGTCTGAAGGCTGCCTAGACTCTTGCTGCTCCCACTCTGTGATCTCTCGGGCAGCTACACCACCATCGGTGCATCATTCCCAGAATATGCCAAGGGACGCCAAGTGGTTCTGCTCACTCATCCGGGAATGTCTTTCCCTAAATATGACCTGGTAAACATCTTTTAATCCATGAATCAGGAGCTGAAGACTCATCTCTATGATGAAGTCTTTCTTCTCTCTGCCCAGTGTCCACAGCCTCTCAGATATGCCTCGTGTATATCACTCAATAGCTCAGTTCCTGAGTCTTAGAAGCCCTGTACTTGCTGTACTTGCTGGCTCGTCTGTGAACTCCATTAAACTGTGAGCTCCTGCGGCTGGAGTTCAGTGAGTAGGGAGCTTGCCTTGCACATGGCCAACCCAGGGTTTGATCCCTGACATCCCAGAGCACTGCCAGGAGTAATTCCTGAGTGCAAAGCTAGGAGTAACCTCTGAGCATTGCCAGGTGTGGCCCCTCCAAAACAAAAAGAACCCTGTCTTACTGGTCTTTGTATCTTCAAAAGGCCAGCAGAGAATCCGGCACTGAACATTTTGTAAAGAAAAAAAGCTCCAAACATATACTTTAGTATTTTCAGATGCTGGAACTGAAGGGGTGAGGAAGCCCGAAAGCTTCCCTCACTTAGGGAGATTCAGTTCCCTGAGGCAAACAAAAAAAAATGACTTCTCAAAAATGATAAAGAGAAACAAGTCTGTGACTAGCAAAATGGAAAACAAAAATCAAGTTAAAAGAAGACAGACGGTTAGCTTTTAAAGGCCCCTCTGAGTTCCACTGGAATGAAAAGCTGTATCTATGGCCTAGAGACATTAGTAAATTGCCCAAGATCACACAGCTGACAGAAGTGACAAGGAGAATTTTTCATAGCTCATCTCCTGAAAGATGTGCCACACACAAATTCATTTTTCAATATCCACATAATTCAAGGCTTGAAGTTGGCAAAGTGTGCAGAGATGGAAACATTATCTGGAGCAGCCCAGATGAGGGTGGTGGAAGTGTAAGTTCTTCCCATGGTCCCTTCCTGTCTGTGACCGAAAAAGAAAAAAAAAAAGAGGAACCTAGTCCAGTTATACTGCTGGGACCCTCACAGGTGTCCACAAGTTCCTGTGGTGCTTGGGACTGGAGTCCACACTGCCCAGAGAACCCAGCTCTGGTCCCTTGCTCATCAGCATATGTGGGCCTCGCCTCTTACCATCCATGAAATGGATGAAAATGTCCCGAAAAGGAGCCACGTGTAAGATCTGGGCTTAAGGGAACAGATCTTATCTGAAGTCAACCAGTCAAACAAGTCCGAGGCTCTCCCTGTTTGCTGAGGGAGCTGGAGGACCTGATTCTGGGGAAAACTGGTATTCTGGGTCCTTCCAGGCACAATCCCGGCTCTCCTCCACAGGGGAGGCCACACAAACAGCAGAGGAGCCACAAACAAGGCCCGAAATTTGTGCTCGTTCGTTTGAATTCAGCAACCACGTTCGGGTGAGCGTTTCTGACCACAGTCAGACGGGACCCCCAGAGGTGAGGAAGGGGAGAGACGCCTTTTAGTGCCATGATCCTTCACTGCTGCCCTAGGGGACGGTTCATGTGTGTCTCCAACCCATGATTTTGCACCATCAGACATGTTCCTGCATGCTTTAGGAACTGCCGCTGAGCCACCTGGGGGGGAGCCCAAGCCTAGGGGGTGGGGTTTGGGGAGGAAGGGAAAGGAGCGCTACTGTTGTTACGAGATAACACATTCATAGGCCATAATACAGATGAGGAAAAATAGCTCTCCTACCATAAGCTGAGTGCAGGAACTGAAACTCTGTTGGATAGAAATGTTAGTTGAAATTACCACTAAGAATTTGTGCAAAGTAGTACACATTGCAGTTACAAAACAAACTTTGTCTTAAGACAGCAGTTTCCCCCAGGCTACACAGAAACAGTGACTTCAGAGGGTGCAAAGTGCTCTACCCTGGAAAGGCGACAGACTTGCCATCAAAGAAATCCTCTGCACACAGGAGGGACACCTCCTCAGTGGCAGTGGCATCCTCCGGCAGCCGGTTTATAAGCTGTCTAGACATGAACAAGTCTAAGTTTCTGCTTTGTTTGTCCTTGAAAAGAACAAGTTTCCCCAAGCACTGCAGAGGGGCATCACATGTGACAGGCTTTATGTGTGGGAGGAATCGGAGGCTCAGAGATGATACCATTGTCTGGGGTCTCTGAAGACCTCTCCATAAACCCCGGAGCTAGGACTAATGCAGAGGCACTTCACTCCCTGGTGGTGCAGAGGAAGGAGCATAGGCTGTGTGTAAGAGAGACTGGGTTTGAGTTCCATTTCTACTGCCTTTTCCAGCTTTGGGTAAGTTATTTTTCTTTCTCTGGTTACTGGGCCACGTCCAACTCGGGGCTCTTTCTGGGGGTGCCTGGGAGACCATGTGGTACTCCAGCCCCTTGAACATTCTTGCTGGTCCTTAGGCACGTTTAATCTCTCTGAGCAAAGCTGGAGGAAAGCAGCTTGAATTCGCAGGACTAAGGAAGAGAGTGCCTGTGACAGTGTCTGGTATATGGCAGGAGGTCAGAAAACCCAACTGTGCTCAGGGATCACTTCCGGGGGCCCTTGGAATGTTGGGGGTCAAAACTGGGTCAGGCACATGGAAGGCAAACTTGAACCCTGTTCTCTAGCCTCCAATACATTTATTTGCCCTGTCAAGGCTCCTGTGAAATCAAGAACAACAGAAGATTTATAAACAGACTTCTTGTCAGGAGATATTTCATTTTGATCTGTTATTATTTATTCCTGCTTATCCTTTCTCTTCATTTTCAAGTCAGATTATCATTAATATGGCATATCGTTTGGTTTCCAACTTCTGAAAACAAAGACAGGTTCTTGGTTGGTCCCGACCTCCTACAGGGCCAAATAGTTCTTAAATAAGATTCTGAAAGTCATTAAGAGCTTGGGAAAAAAGTCCCCATGAACGCACAGTGCTTTCAGAACCACGGTAGGTGAAATGTTTCCCTGAATTCTGGGCAGATGGCATTTTGGGTACTCTGAGATGCTAAAAATAACACTCTAAAGCCACTTCTTGGTCTCCTTGAAGAAGGTGAGAGAAACTTTCTTTTTTTATCCTTTTTTTTTGGGGGGGGGGTCACACCTGGCCATGCAAAAGGCTTACTCCTGGTTCTGCTCTCAGGGATCATTCCTGATGATGCCTGAGAGCAAACCGTGAACTGCGTGCAAGGCAAACACCCTACCCTCTGGGCTATCTCTGCAGCCCGAACATGAGAGAAATTTAAACAGGAGAGCCTAGCTCCTTTGCAGGTTTCTATTCTGTGGGTATATCCCAGTATCACAAATGGCTGCTCCAACAGGTAACAGAGTGTGAGTCATAACGCCCGTTCTCAGAGACAGCTCCTGGAGGGCAAGAGTTCCCTGCCACTGCCAGGACACACGGTGAACACAGAGGCCAGTCTCCAATATGAAAAACAGACGAGGGCAAGGGCAAAGGATGTGGCTCAGTAACATAGTGCATAATGAGGTCCAGGACTTAATTCCTGACTGCACATGTGCAGAGGAAAACAAAAACTTTAAAAGATTTTGCATATGTGTGTGTGCGTGTTGGGGGGGAGGGGTGGCAGTTAGAGAAATGGCTCACTGAGCTGGGGTATGTGCTCTGCATGCAAGAGTCGCAGATTTAATCCCTGGTACCATATGGTCTCCCAAGCACTGATGGGAATAAGTCCCAAGCACTGAGTAGCCCCTGAGCACTGCTGGTCATGGCCCAAAGAGTGAAAAGTCAATGTGGAGATACTATCCTAGGTTTTTAGTCCACATGTCACAAATTCTCTGAGGACGACTGCAGTGTTATCAATGGGAATGGACTATAATTTCTTCCAGAGTGCTCTGGGGAGAGCAAGAACAAATTAAATGTCTGTGAAATCATACATTTATGGAAGCATTTTAGGAGTTAACTCCACTTATTTTTATAAAATAATTTATTAGTATGAACTGTGTGGTGGTGGGGGAACTGTATGGTAACTTCATGATCTATGTGTATCTGTTTATGATGTGACTTCAACTTCTTTTTTTGGGGGACGTTCTAATTTTGGATGACACCTGGCAGTGCTCGGTGGCTCCTACTGGCAATACCTGGGGGATCGTGTGGTTCTAGGAATCAAGTCTGGGTGTCTTGCATGCAAAACATGCACTTAGCACACTGACTTATTTCTCTGATCCATGATTTTTACCTTTTTTTTTTGTTTTTGTTTTTTTGCTTTTTGGGTCACCCCCAGCAATGCTCAGGGGTTACTCCTGGCTCTGCACTCAGAAGCAAAGCACAAAACAAAATAAAAACCCTTGGATGATATTCTGACTCTTGGTTTCATGTTCTCTTTTCTAATCTAGAGAGACACAAAAGATAGCGACGAATGAAAAACTTAACATGAAACCACGTATACCATCTCATACTGGTTTGCTCAGAGAAGAGCAGTAACTTGTTTAAGACCTCAGTGCTCATGAGTTAAGTGTCAGGATCCAAACCCAGAACTTTCTAACAACAGAGCCCACATTTCTTTTGCTCCTTGGAATGTTAAAGCACCAGCTGAGTATGTGGGCTAACACCATTGATAAGACCTCTGCACCGCTCCTAGTCCAAAGAGGTACAAACTTTTTTTACATTCTTAAACATATTTTAGAATGAAAAACATGTTATTTGCTTAAATCCTTTATCCTCTGATGGCAAGTCTGTCAGTCTCTTCCAAATCCAGACTCGGCAAGTCTGGGTCTAGTGTGTGCGTTTGTGTATTCTCTCATTGGCAGCTTCAGGGAAACTGAGCAAAAAGTGGACCTGAACATTGTTTGGGAGAGCAGAAAGAGTTCTGTGAGGGGACCGCATGTCTCTGACCTTCCAGCAGAAGAGTTGGCACACTTCCAGTCCCAAGAAGAAAAAAGGAAATCCTTCTCCCACCCCCCCCACCCTGAAGCTGATCAACCTTGTTCTCAGAGGGCATTCCCTGGAGAATCTGGCCTGGATGGGCTGAGGCCAAAGCAATTAAGTACAGGCAGAGATCAGCAGGGAGTCCTACCTCCCGCCCCATTCTCTACTGCTGTCTCCATTTCCTCCTTACCTGGAGCATAACTGGGGCTATTGGTGGGGTACAGGCTCGGATTGTAGGCAGGGGCTGCTGCCGGGTAGGCTGTTGGATAACCTACAAAGAGAGAGAAAACGTTTTCTGTTTAGCTGCATATGAAGGAAAACAGAATACAAGTTCCAGCACTGGCTTTCAGTCTCTCCTTGAGACATTTTTATTTACTTACTTATTTTTTTGCTTTTTGGGTCACACCTGGCGATGCACAGGGGTTACTCTGGCTCTGCACTCAGGAGTTACTCCTGGCGGTGCCCGGGGGACCATATGGGATGCTGGGAATCGAACCCTGGTCGGCCACGTGCAAGGCAAACGCCCTACCAGCTGTGCTATCTCTTCAGCCCCTCCTTGAGCCATTTTAGACAGAACTTAGCTTTCCTCTTGAGGAAAGTGGCACCAATGCTACAATTTTAACAATGTCGATCTTTAATTTTTTAAAGGCAGAGCAAGAAATATCAGCCTATAAAATTGAAAAAAAAATAGACATCTCTAAGACCAGGGGTGCAGCTCAATAGGATTCTGGGCATTCACACAAAAGAAGGGCAGGAAAGGAGAAAAAAGCAGCACATTAAGTTAAAAATACTACCACAGGGGCTGGAGTAATAGCACAGCGGCAGGGTGTTTGCCTTGCACGCAGCTGACCCAGGTTCGATTCCCAGCATCCCATATGGTCCCCAGAGCACCACCAGGAGTAATTCCTGAGTGAATGAGCCAGGAGTAACCCCTGTGCATCGCCAGGTGTGACCCCAAAAAGTTAAATAAATAAAATAAAATAAATAAAATACTGCCACAGCCAATTTCAGGCAGCTCATCACTGAATGAGCAGATAGGAACAGACTCTCCTGCCTGGCTCCAGAGAGCCCACAAAAGCCAGATCTAGCCTCCCCCCTCCTCCCAGCTATGTATTTCTTATAGGGACTGGGTGGGTCTAGGGGAAAATACCAGGCATTGTGTAGGGTTTACTCCTGGCTCTGTGCTCAGGGATCACTCCTGGCGGTGTTTGGGGATAATATGCAATGCTGGAGAACATACTGGGTCATCATACGCAAGGCAAGCACTTTTCTAGCTGTACTGTCTTTCCAGTTTTACTTTTAGGGATTTAGGGATTTTAGTGTTCTGGACCATAATCAGTGGTACTCAGGAGCTATTCCCAGCTCTCTGCTCAGGGGGTTTGCTCAGGTGATGTTTAGGGGGCTATGCAGAAATCAGTGATTGAAAACGGGCTCCTGTATGCAAAGCACGTGCTCCAGCACACTGAGCTATCTCTGGCCCACTTATAGAGATTTTTGGAAAATGTTTAAATTGTGACTGTCACTGTCACTGTCCTCCCGTTGTTCATCGATTTGCTCGAGCCGGCCCAGTAACATCTCCATTGTGACAATTGTTACTGTGTTTGGCATATTGAATACGTCACGGGGAGCTTGCCAGGCTTTGCCGTGCAGGCGAGATACTCTTGGTAGCTTGCCGGGCTCTCCGAGAGGGGCGGAGGAATCGAACTTGGGTTGGCCATGTTGGCCGCTTGCAAGGCAAATGCCCTACCCACTGTGCTATCGCTCCAGCCCAAATTGTGACTATATATATATATATATATATATGTAACATTCATGATTTTAACCATTTTAAGTGGCATTATATTCACAATACTGTACAGTTATCCCGTTTCTAAAACTTATTTTAATCACTCTATATTCATTAAGCAATAATACCCCATTCCTTCTCCCTAATCTCCCTGTTAACCTCTAATTTAATTTCTGTCTCCATGAATTTGTCTATTCTATATAAATACTATTCATGCTTTTGTGTCTGGTTTCTTTCACAGCATAATGTTTTCAAGGTTGATCCATACTATAGCAGGTGCCAGACTTCATCTGCTTTTAAGACTAAATAACATATTGTGTGTATATCACATTTTATCTATCTATTCATCTCTTGATGGACACTTGGATTGTTCCTGCCTTTTGGATGCTGCTACTATGAATCAGTGTATGAGTATCTGTTTGAATCTCTGTTTTCAATAATTTTCGGTATATAACAAGAAGTGGAATTGCTGGATCATAAGGTAATTACACGTTTAACTTTTAAAATTATATGTTTAACTATTTTTTCACAGTGGCTACACCATTTTATATTCACATTAATCATGCATGAAGGTTCCAATTTTTCCATATATTATCAACACTTGTTATTTTTTTTAACACTTGTTATTTTTTGTCTGTTTTTTTCATAATCATCCTAGGAGATGCAGAATGCTCTATCTTACTTTGATTTGTATTTCCCTTAGGATTGATGGGTATCTTTTCATGTGTTTATTGGTTGTCTGTATATCTCCTTTGAAAAAAATGTCTATTGAAAACATCTACCCATTCAAAAATTAGGTTGTGGGGCTGGAGGATAGGGCTCTTGCCTTGCACGAGGCTGACCTGGGTTAGATCCCTGGTAACCCATATGGTCCCCTGAGTCCTGTCAGGAGTGATCCCAGATCACACAGCCAGAAAAAAGCCCTGAGCACCACTGGATATGGCCCCAAAACAAAATGATAAAAGGTAAAGGTAAAAATCAGGTTGTTTTGATGTAATATTGTAGGAAGATTTTTACAAATATATTTTGGAATGAAACTCTTATCAGACATATTATTTGCAAATATTTTCTCATGTTCTGTGGGCTTTCCTTTCACTTTCTTTTTTTTATGGGGATGGGGGGTTTGAGCCACACCTAGTGAGGTTCAGGGGGTTGTTTCTGGCTCTGTACTTAGGGGTCACTGCTGGCAGGTGGTGGTGGGGGTAATGATACCATTATGGGGTGTGAGGTGTTGAAGCTAGCTAGGCTATTCAAGGCAAGTACAGTGGGGAAGGTATATGCAAGGCAAGCACTTACTCTCACCCTCTGTACTAATCTCTCCAGCCCCGCTTTTCATGTTTTTGATCATGCCTCTGACACACAAATATTTTTAATGTTGGTAAGAATATACCTATTTTTTTTTCTTTTTATTTTCTGGGACACACCAGGTGGTGCTCAAGGGTTACTCTTGGCTCTGCACTCAGGATTCACTCCTGGAGGGCTCAGGGGACCATATGGGATACAGGAAATTGAACCTGGGTCAGCCGCTTGTAAGACAAGCGCCCTACTCACTCCGGCTTCTGTATCTGTTTTTCTTTTGTGACTCATACTATTGGTGTCACAGCTAAGGATTTTAAGGTCAAATTCAAGGACATGAAGATTCATGTTTTTATTCTAAGAATTTTTTTTTTTTTGGCCGCCATTCTAAGAATTTTTTATTTGGCTCTCGTACTTGGATCACTAATCATTTTGGCATATGGTAAGAAGTAGGAGCAAATACAGCTTTATATTCTACATTTTCTTTCTTTTTTTGGTTTATTGTTTGGGCCACACTCAGCAGTGCCTGTCAGGGCTTACTCATGGTTCTGTGCTCAGGCATCACTTCTGGTGGTGCTGTAGAACCAAAAGGGGTGCTGGGAATCGAATCTACAGGCAGCACGCAAGGCAAAGGCGCTGCCCTCTGGAATATCTCCCCGGCCCCTACCTTTTCACTTTTTTAGATACCCTCATTGGCAGTGCTGGGGCGCAGTCCTAGCGTTGCACCTCGTGGTGCTTATGGCACCATGCTGTACCACGGATCAGCTTGGGCCTCCCACGTGCTCAGCCCATTGAGTCATCTCTCTGGCTGGCCCTCTACTTTTCACTTTAATACTATAAGCATCTTTCCATTTCATTAGTCTTCAAAAATTATTTTTAATATCCTTAAAATTTTACATCATATAGATGTTAAATCATATAATCATTGTGCTGTTTTGGGTAGTCTAGGTTGCCTGAAAAATTTTTATGAATAAAGTTATGTGAACAACCTCGGTGTCTTTAGCTACACTTCTATTTCTCTAGAAATGAGTTCTAGACATGAAACTTCTAAAGCTGGAGACATAGCTCAGCAAGAGAGAGCTTGTTGTGCATATGTATGAGCACCAAGCTTTAAGTGTCCGCCTTCCAACATCACCAGGAGTGGCCCCCAAACGAAACAAAACAAAAGAAACAAGAGCTGAAGACAGTACAGGGGTTAAAGTGCTTGTCCAGCACAGAGCTGACCCTGGTCAATCCCAGGCACAAAATACAGAGTGATTCCTGAGCACTACCAGGCATGTGCTTCCCTCTGCTATACCCCCCCCCCCCCAATAAGATAGAAAAAATAGAAAAAAAAAGGTCTGATGATGTGATCTGGGGCTATTCCTGGCTCTGTGTTCAGGAGTGACCCCGGCAGTACTCAAGGGATCATGCAGGGATTTGAGTTGGGATCAGTTGCATGTAAGGCAAGTGCCTTACTTTCTGTACTCTCCCTCCAGCCCTATATTATTTTTTAAGACGCAAGTGTACATTACTAAAGCAGGGACCCAAAGCACCAGTGAGACAGGTTTTGCAGTTACAGTATAAAATATTAGGTAAAATTTAGCAAATTATTTTGGGGGTGCATCCCCAGCAGCACTTAGGGCCGGCATTATGGGGGAAGCAGCACTGCTTCCTTTATTCAGACACTGTGGTTTACAAAGCTTTGAATACAGAGCTTTGAACATTCAATGTTCCCTCTCTAAAGCCACCAAGAGGGGCTGGAGTGATAGCACAGTGGGTAGGGCATTTGTCTTGCACGTGGCCAACCTGGGTTTGATTCCCAGCATCCCATATGGTCCCCTGAGAACGGACAGGGGTAATGCCTGACTGCAAAGCCAGGAATAACCCCTGGCACCGCCGGGTGTAACCCCTCCCCACCAAAAAAGAGCCACCAAGAGTGTCAATGTCCCTCCATCTCAAAAACATTATTCTTAAAGCTTGTTTGGTCCACAAATATTTATAAATCTGCTTGGAGTAATCCCTGTCCTGGTGGAGTTTATGTTTTAGGAGTGTAGGAGAAGCCAGTGGATAAACATAAGTATAAACACTATTTTAAGTGCTAGGGACTGGAGCGATAGCACAACGGGTAGGGCGTTCGCCTTACAAGCGGCCAACATGGCCGACCGGAGTTCGATTCCTCCGCCCCTCTCGGAGAGCCCGGCAAGCTACCGAGAGTATTCGATATGCCAGACACAGTAACAACAAAGTCTCCAATGGAGACGTTACTGGGCAAATCGTCGATCAACGGGAGGGCCTTTATTTATTTAAGTGCTAAGGAAAAGGAAGGGGCTTGGCGATGGGCATCTGAAGCACTAGAGCACAATATTTAAAGGCGACTGGTATGCACACATTAAAAAGAAAAGATTTTCAAAGATTCAGTGGACAAGCAGCTGGACAAAGGAAGATATTTCAGATGAGGCACAGGGCAAAGGCCCCAAGTTGGGAGCATATGAGACATGTCCAAGGAACGACAAAGGGGACAGTACAGTGGAAGCAGAGCAAATGCAAAGAAAACAGAGGAAGGCAGAGAAAGGGCTGGCCAGTGCACAGAGGATCTTAACAGGCCAGAGTGAAATGAGGAGTAGTCACCAAGGGGTTTTGAGCAGAAGAATCACGTAATCTGACTGATGTCTGAAAAGGTTCAATCTGATTGCTGTGGCGAAGACACTAAAGGTGGAAGGAAGAAGTATAGAGCCCAACTGGAAGTTTGCATCACCAACTCCTGGGGCTCGGTCCAGAGCGGTGAGAAGAATGGCACACTGAGAGTCCTAACCTACTTTGTACACTCAGTCCGAGGAGATCAACTTGGAATCCCACAGAAATGCCTACTTCAGGCTCCCTGCAGTTTTTCAATGCTCCTTGGTATTTTGACTGACAATAGAAAGCTGGTATTAAAAGTCACAGATTAAACCCCTAAATCCCTAAAAGCTTCTTTGGGATTTGTAAATATTGCGCTTTAATAATGTATCTTTGTTAATTGCCTTTCCTTAAATTCTTTCTGATTCCGAAGAAAGTTAATCTTCTCTCCCCTACCTACCCTCAATTACTCTGATTTCAGAATTGAGGGAATAAACTTGTCACTTAGTTGGACATCTGAAGGTCTGCTAGCACCCTAGTTTAATTTTAATATTTGTTGTGGAGGACCACTTCTGGTAGTGTTTAGGGGTTTCTAGAGTTACACCTAGCAGTGATTGGTAGGGGGCATGTAGTGCCCGGGATGACCCACCTCACTACATCACTGGCCCAACTTCTCAAGAAGAAACTCAAAGATTTAACTTGGAAAGCAAAGTGATTCAGCCACAGAGCTGAAATCTCTCTTCAGTTTTATATGACAGACCACTGTAGACAAGTACAACAAACCCCTGTTATGTGAAATTAAATGTCTTTTACTTTAGGGATGACTACATGATCTTCCTTCAGTGTTTCCAAGCAGAATTAAGTTCACTGGAATGTAACACATAGAATCACTTTTATTTAGTCTAACTCATCTTTTCTTTTCATGTCACATTATGAGTCAGAGAGAGGGGAAGGGACCGAGGGCAGCAGACCGTTGAAGTTATTAAGTATTTCAAGGCCTGGAGTTATAGTACAGTGGGTAAAGCACTTGCCTTTTATGTGCCTGACCTGGGTTCAATCCTTGGTATCCCATGTGGTTCCTTGAGCACCACCAGGAGTACTCCTGAGCACCTCTGGGTGTAACGCAAAAACTTAAAAAACAAAACAAAACCCCAAAACAAGAAAATAGAAAATCCACATAATTCACTTCACATCTGGGGTAACAGTCTCCTCCCCGACATGCTCAGAAGACCAGCCCTAGCAGCTGGATAGAGACCTCTTTTCTTGCTTGAATTCCCTGCCCCCATCTCCACTGTAAGACCACTCTGACTGTCGGAAAGTAGCTTCTCAGACTATATGAACTCTGACTATTGCCTTAGAGCCTTCTATCCTTTTGAACAGAACTCATTTAGTCATAAACATTTCCAATTATAGAAGTTACTACACTGTTCTCCGATGGTATGACATTTTCTATCCGGCCTCCTCCCTCCCTAACTGTATGCTCCTTCAAGGCACAGCTATGTCATGTCTCATTTGCCTGCACTCGTTCACTCTTGGTTGGCTCCTCCTTACTCTGCTGTCAACATGCCACCCCTCTGCTTGGGCAACAGCAATCATATGAGCTTCCAAACTGCAGGTGGCCACTAGTCCGTGTGGTTAGTAAAGAGCTCTTGGGCCAGAGAGTTAGTAGGTGGGTAGGGTGTTTGCCTTGTATGCAGTCAACCTGGGTTTGATCCCCGGCATCCCATATGGTCCCCCAAGCACCACCAGGAGTAATTCCTGAGCTCCAGAGCCTGGAGTAACTCCTGAGGATCACCAGGTGTGGCCCCAAACAAACAGACAAACCAACCAACCAAACAACCAAACAAACAAAAAACTCTTTCCCACTGTTAACTTTTTCTGTCCAAAAAGAGCACCAGTAATGGGCTGGGCCTCTGGCCTACAACATTTCTAGTTTTGTTTTGTTTGTTTTCTTGGGATCAGAGAGAGAGAGGACAGCGGGTAAGTGAGGCACTTGCCTTGCATGGAGTCACCTCCAGGTCAATCCCCAGCACCAAGTAGGGTCTCCCAAGCACCCCCAGAGATCATTCAGGAATAGTCCTGGAACAGCACAGGGTTCTACACAGGTTGTAGCCCATCTCCCTGGTCCTGGCCCCCTCAAATTCCTTCCTTCCTTCCTTCCTTCCTTCCTTCCTTCCTTCCTTCCTTCCTCCCTCCCTCCCTTCCCTTCCCTTCCTCTTTTTTTTCAAATTGAATCACTGTGAGATAGTTACAAAGCTTTCATGTTTGAGTTTCAGTCATACAATGAGCGAACACCCATTCCTCCACCAGTGTACATTTTCCACTACCAAAATCCCTAGTATTCCCCCGATCTCCACCCCATCCTATCCCTCTTCCTGCTCAAATTGTTTTCTTATCCCTGTTACTGTGTTTCTCATTACAATCATTCTGACATCTCTAGGACCGAGAGGAGAGAGAAGGCAAAGACAGGTACTCAATGATATTTCTGAGGAGAGGGGTGATGCTGCTCTTCTGCATCTATGAGAGGTATAAAGACAAAAAAACAATCCAACAGGTTCCTGACCCTGGAAGAGTCCTTGCCTATGAGGAAGAAAGACAGGTAAGTAGAGAATTGGGATGCAGCCTGAAAAGGGTCAGGCAAAGACACAGAGAAGGCACAAACAGGACCTTCATCAACCATTCGATAACCGACTGTCTTCCAGGAATTATATGGACAGAAAGGGGGAGAAAGGCATTCAAGTGGGTTAGCAATTGTGGGCGGGGGCATTCCTAAGCAGCCTAGCTTGTATCCACCTTGGTTCTAGGAGCAACAGTGTGGGTAACTAATTTTTGGAGGGCTTGATCCTACATTCTGTCTTATATCTTTGTTTCCCTTTGTGGTGGATGGTCCAAATTTGCCCTTTTAGTTTCATCTGACCTCTAACTATGCTGAATTTCATGCAACTCAGCTGGACTTCTCTCCTGACTCAAGTAGTATTTTACTGCCGACTGAACATCACCACTTGGTATTCGCTATACAGCAAGCTTAGATGAAACCCAGCAATATCACTAACTGTTGGCAAGATCTTGAGACATTTACCTGTGCCTAGTTTTCCCACCAGGAAAATGGGACTAATAATATTACATGCTGTAGCACTGCACTGCACTGTCTTCCCGTTGTTCATTGATTTGCTTGAGCGGGCCCAGTAACGTCTCCATCATGAGACTTGATGTTACTGTGTTTGACATATCAAATACGTCATGGGTAGCATGTCAGGGTTGGCCGTGCGGGCGAGATACTCTCGGTAGCTTGCCAGGCTCTCCGAGAGGGGCGGAGGAATCGAACTCGGGTTGGCCATGTCGGCCACGTGCAAGGCAAATGCCCTACCACTGTGCTATCGCTCCAGCTTAATATTACATACTATAGGTTGCTAAAAGTATTAACTTAGTCACAACCTCAAAGCACAAGAAGTCAGGCAAATAATTAACCTAAAGTCAACTACTATTACTTCAAACTTTTGAGATAAAAATTAGTTTTTTACCTCCTACCATCTCACCCCCTTCCAAACCTGTTCCTGTACATTTGTCTCCCTGTCAGTAAACGACTACGCGTTTGTCCACTTTCACGGGCTAAAACCTTGAGAGTCATTCTTGATTTTCTTCATTTTTTCCTACTTACAACTAATTCATCAGGAAATTCTTTTTTTCTTTTTTAGGTCACACCTGGCAATGCTCAGGGGTTACTCCTGGCTCTGCACTATGGAATTACTCCTGGTGGTGCTCGGGGGATCATATTGGAGGGAATCGAACCTGGGTTCACTGCATGCAAGGCAAATAAATGCCTTACCCGCTGTGCTATCGCTCCAGCCCCTCATCTGTAAATTCTTTCCTGTCCTCCTTCGGAATAAATTCAGAGGGCTGGGGAGATAGTTCAAAGGGATTTGCACGAAGAAGGCCTGGGTTCAACCCCTGGCACCACAAGGCTCCTTGAGCACTGCTGGGGAACAATCCCAGTTGGGGTAATCCCCCAAGCACTGCCAGGTGTGGTACCCAAGACAAAAACAAATATATTCAGAACCTGACATATCTTATGCCTATACACACTCTATCCTGGATCAAGTGTTCATTTTCTTTTCTTCCTTTCATTTATTTTTTCACTTTTTTGCGCAACACCCAGCAGTGCTAAGGGCTTACTCCTGGCTCTAGCTCAGTGATCTTTATGATCATTATTTCTCATCTGAAACAATTTGTCTCCTTGCTTCAACTTTGATCCCAGAATATTTATTTTCCACGGCAACTAGAGTCAAGAGTCAAGCCTGTTAAAACATTAAGTCAGATCATGACATTCTTTTAAGTTAACAATCACATTAGAATTCTTTTAATCACTCTGTGGGCCATTAGCTAATTTCTCACCTGACTTCCCCTCCCGCTATCGGCCCCAATGCTAATCTATTCCAGACACAACAGTCTCCTTGCTGTTTTTCAAATGTATCAGGCAATTTGCCACTCAAGATGTCTTTAACCTTTCTGTTTCCTTTCCCTGATCAATAATCACTTTACATTTTTCTCTTATAGCACTCTCAACTCTCATTCTCCTTAGCCTGACATATATATGTATTTCTTCACAGCACTACAGCATGTATTTATTTATGGGAGATGGTTTCTCAGCATTATAAAGTAAGCTTCAGGTCACAACAACACAGTCTAGCCTACAACTATTCCTGGTTGTAAGTCTTTTCCCAGCACACTCTAAAGACTCTCCAGATAGTCTCTGTCCCACCCAGGCAACAGAACGCATATCAGGTCTGATCCCCACTCATGGCTGCCTTAACTGTAGGGGCTCCTCAAGGATAAAGACACCGAGATTAAATACTAAACCAGGAATATTTTATCTTTTCTCATATAAAGATATTTCCACAGCATTTGAACCTCAAAATAATGCTAAAATGATTCCCCCTCCCCACGCCAAAAAAGAGAAATGTTGCTAAGATTATTCAGCACATAGGCAGTCGAACTAAAAGGGATTCCCCAAAACAATACCTTTTCCACACCTACCAAATAACAATGACTTGGTCCTTGGATTTAAGTTTGCCCTTTCTGTCATGTGAAGGTCAAAAGTGAAGAGGATAAATAGACACAAGTGTTTCTTCTTTTTATTCCAAACACTACAGTAGTGATCAGGCTTCCTAGAATTTTAATTGTTTAAATTAATTTTAATTAATTGTTTTAATTGCTTAATTTAACTTTAATAGCCAGGTTTCCTGGCATTACATTTTAATGGCTTAATAGACATGTCCATAAAATCTAATAAGCTTTTCTTGCTACTGCAAGGATCAGAACTGAAATAGGTTATTTTTTAATAATATGAAAATTAGAAAGTATGAAATAGTTTAAAAACTATTGGATCAATATCAATAGATGCAGAGAGAAAGCTTTTGACAAGATCCAGCACCTGTTTATGATTAAAACTCTCACCAAAATGGGTTTTGAAGGAATTTTCCTCAAGATAGTCAAAGCCATCTATGACAAACCCATGGCAAGCATTATCCTCAATGGGGAAAAACTAAGAGCCTTTCCTCAAAGATCAGGGACAAGACAAGGATGCCCACTATCACCACTTCTGTTCAATATAGTACTGGAAGTACTTGCAATAGCAATTAGGCAAGAAAAAAGACATTAAAGGCATCCAGATAGGAAAGGAAGAAATCAAACTCTCACTATTTGCAGATGATATGATACCATATCTCGAGAATCCTAAATCCTCTACCAAGAAACTCCTAGAAACAATAGACTTGTACAGTAAAGTCGCAGGCTATAAAATTAATGCCCAAAAATCCATGGCCTTCCTATATGCAAATAATGAGAGAGAGGAAAGTGACTTGAAAAAAAAAATCCCATTCACAATTGTGCCCCAGAAAATCAAATACCTAGGAATCAGCCTAACTAAAGAGGTAAAGGACCTCTACAAACAAAACACTACTCCATGAAATAAAAGAATACACGAGGAAATGGAAACATATCCATCCTGCTCATGGATAGGAAGAATTAACATTGTCAAAATGGTAATATTTCCCAGAGCATCATACAGATTCAATGTGATCCCTATAAGGATACCCATGAAATTCTTCAAAGAAATTGATCAAGCACTCTTGAAATTCATATGGAACAACAAATGCTTTTTTTTTTTTTTTTGGGAAAAAGACGTGGGGAGGCATTACCCTCCCCAACCTCAAACTCTACTACAAAGCAGTAATAACTAAAACAGCATGGTACTGGAACAAAGGTAGGACTTCAGACCAATGGAACAGGGCGGAATATCCGTACACACAACCCCAAAGTATGAACATCTAATCTTTGATAAAGGAGCAAGAAATGTGAAGTGGAACAAGGAAAGGCTCTTCAACAAATGGTGCTGGCGTAACTGGATAACCACATCCAAAAAAATGGGCTTAGACCTCGACCTAACAACATGCACAAAAGTCAGATCAAAATGGATTAAAGATATCAACATCAGGCCAAAACCCATAAGGTATACTGAAGACAAGGTCGGCAAAACCCTCCATGATATAGAGGCTAACGGTATCTTCAAATACAACATTCCACTGACCAACCAAGTGGAAACAGAGTTAAACAAATGGGACTATCTTAAATTAAGAAGCTTCTGCACCTCAAAAGATACAGTGACCAGAATACAAAGACAATCTACAGGATGGTAAAGGATATTCACCCAATACTCATCCGATAAGAGGTTGATATCAAGGATATACAAAGCATTGGTTGAACTCCACAAGAAGAAAACATCTAACCCCATCAAAAAATGGAGTGATGAAATGAACAAAACTTTCTCAAAGGAGAAATCTGAATAGCTAAAAGGCACATGAGAAAATGCTCTATATCACAAATCATCAGGGAGATGCAGATCAAAACAATGATGAGATATCATCTCACACCACAGAGACTGGCCCACATCCAAAAGAACAAAAGCTACCGGTGTTGGCATGGATGTGACAAGAAAGGGACTCTCCTTCACTGCTGGTGGGAATGTGGACTGGTTCAGCCCTTTTGGAAAACAGTATGGACGAGTCTCAAAAAATTAGAAATTAAGCTCCCATTTGACCCAGCAATACCACTCCTGGAAATATATTCTGGAGAGGCAAAAAAGTAGGGTGGAAATGACATCTGCACTTCTATGTTCATTGCTGCACTGTTCACAATAGCTAAAATCTGGAAAAAACCTTAGTGCCCAAGAACAGATGACTGGTTAAAGAAACTTTGCTACATTTACACAATGGAGTACTATGTAGCTGTTAGAAAAGATGAAGTCATGAAATTTACATACAAGTGGTACTACATGGAAAGTATCATGGTAAGTGAAATGAGTCAGAAAGAGAGGGACAGACATGGAAAGACTGCATTCATCTGGGGAATATAAAGTAACAAAATAGGAGACTAACACCCAAGAATAGTAGAGATAAGTACCAGGAGGATTACTCCACAGCCTAGAAGCTGGCCTCTCATGCTGGGGGAAAAGGCAGCTCAGATAGAGAAGGGAGCATCAAGTAAAGGGTGTTGGGAGGATCCTCCCAGGATGAGAGATGCATGCTGAAAGTAGACTATAGACCAAACATGACTGCCACTCAATGCCTCTTTTGCAAACCACAGCACCCAAAAGGAGAGAGAGAACAAAAGGGAATGCCCTGCCACAGAGGCAGGGTGGGATGAGGGAGGGTGGGAGGGATACTGGGATCTTTAGTGGTGGAGAATGGGCACTGGTGGAGGGATGGGTACTCAATCATTGTATAACTGAAACCCAAGCACAAAAATTTGTAAGTCTACAACTGTACCTCATGGCGTTTCACTAATAAAAATTAAAAATAAAATTAAATAAACATAAAATATAATAAATAAACTGACCAACTAAAATAAAACTATTGGATCATTAGGAAGTAAAAGTAAACTAAGTATCCAATGGAATATTACTGATTTTGCTATGAAAATGATGAAATTGTGCCTTTTGGGTTAATATGAATGAAACTTGAGGTAATTATACTAAGTGAAATAAATATGGAAGTGAAAGGCAGTTATTGGATGCTATCATTCATATGTATACCATGAATTACTAAAGCAAACAAACTGGTAAAAAAAACCAATAAAACTAATTCCTAATTTTAATAAAAACAAAGGTAGTTCAGAGGAAAAGAGGAGGAAGGAAGGGGAGAAGGAATAAGTAGAAGGACCTTCTTTTCTTGCTGAGGATCCACAATGAAACTCTGGTGGTGGGATGGTGACAACTATGTACACAGGTATGAAGTGAAACCCCTGAAATTCCATAAAAATCAGTAGTAAGTCAATTATTATTAAAACAAAAAATTCTTCCCCCCCTCCTTGCCCCCTCCCCCCCTCCCCCATGGCTTTTGGGCCATACCCAGTAGTGCTTAGGGACAGGTCCTGACTTTGTACTCTAGAGTGATGCCTGGAGGTGCCTGGGGAACCATAAACAGTGCTGGGAATCAAACCAGGATTTATCATATGCAAAGCAAGCACCTCACATCCTGAACTCTCTCTCCAAGCCTGGAAAAAAAAGGTTAATATAATTAGGGGGGAAAATTAAAACAGTATCAAAAGACTATCTCCTTGGGTTAGAAAAACAGAACAATTTGTTATGTCTTTAGTATAAAATGAGAACAAAAAGAGGTTAGATTGGAGCTGGAGTGATAGTACAGTGGGCAGAGTGCTTGCCTTGCTCATAGTGGAACCAGGTTCGATCCCTAACACCTCCTGACCACCTTCAGGAGTGATCCCTGAGTAGAGCCAGGAATAAGCTTGAGCACCACTGGGTGTGGCCCAAAACCCAAAATTAAAAAAAATTTAAAAATTAAAAAAAAAAGTTTTCTATGTGCAGGTATGGGAGATACCTTTGGTGGGTAGGGGTGGAGAGGGATAGTTTGGTCCAGACCCAGTGGTGCTAAGGAATTACTCCTGGTTCTGTGCTTAGGAGTTCTTCCTGACAGTGCTCAGGGGGCCATGTGATGCTGGGCATGAAACCAGCGCTGACAGCATGCAAGGCAAGTGCTTTAACCCCTGTACAGTCTCACCAGCATTGTGGGAGATATTTTAAGGGAAAGCAGATGGCCATTCTGTCTCAATCCCCACTCCAAGCATATGATGCTATTTCTCTTCAGCCTCTGTGAAGCAGAAGGGATTATTTTACATGGTACAGATTGTTTGGTGAAAGATTTCTGAGTTCCCTGAATCTATCTTCTAAAGCTAAGAGAACAAGAAGAAATTTTGCATATTAAATGATTTGGTCTATGAATCCCTTCCCCTCTTAGGCTAACTTACTATTTTATTATATTATTCGGTTTAAAGAGATGTGGTAAAGGGAAATTTTTTCCTTAGACTTAATAGAGAATATTAAGATACTTCATTTTTCTATACGGAAAGAAACTGTTGGGCTGAATGCAGAGCAGGAGTACCTCCAGAAATAGAGTTACCAGGATTGTGTTTAGCACACAAAGCATGTACTCTATCACTGAGTTATCCCTGGGATTCATTTTGTCTTGATTTTTACTTTTTTTTTTTTTGGTCCATTCTCAATGGGCTACTCCCAGATCTGTGCTCAGGAGACAATGTGGTGCCAAGAAATAAACCTGGATCTCCTGCATGCAAAGCATGTGCTCAGCCTGTTAAGCTCCCTGTGACCCCAGTTCTACATATTCAAAAGGTTAGTTATTAGAAACCTGCCATTTCACTGGTGAAGTTCTGAAGGAAACAGGCGGGAAATAATAAGCTTGGCAAAAGCAGCAGGACTTGTTTTCAAATAAAATGAAATCTGGGTCATGTTTAAGCCAAAGCTCCCCAGAATATAGTCCCATTTCAACACCTATTTGTTTTGGGGTCACACCTGGTGGTACTTAGGGCTTACTCCTAGCTCTATATTCAGGGACTCTCCCTGGCAGTGCTCAGGGGACTATATCGACCACATTGCATGCTGGAGATGGAACATGGGCCAGCCACATGAAGCCACGTACCCTACTCATTGTTCTATAGCTCTGGTCCTTATGTTCAACACCTATTTTGTTTCATCCTGATCAAATTTTCCATCTCTATTTTTGTGTCTACATAAAAATAACTCATAGCTACTATTCAATTAAAAAAGCTCTCATATTTTCACAGGTGAGAAAACTGAGGCTCTCTGCGGTGAAGAACTTTGCAGGAGGTTGCATAAGGTTATATTATTATGGCTGAATCCAGGTCTACCTGATAAAGAAAGACTATTTCTGAGTTATTTTCTCCTTTTATTTATGGTTTTTGGGTCACAGGGGCTCAGGGACCACACGGTACCAGGGACTGAACCTGGGTCGGCCTTAAGCAAGGCAACCCACTGTATTAACTTCTCTGCCCTCTCCCCCATTTTTTTTTTTAAACAAAGAAAGCATCATTAGGACTTTCTTTATATAATGCAAAAGATACTGAATACTCTTGAACTGAGTTAGACGGTGTATTGAATTATGATGCACTCGGTCTCATCTTAACAACTGTGTAATTAGATCAACCTAATCTTCTGAATTTTACTGCTTGTTTTATTACAGCCTATTATCAGTTGAAACTATAACAGGAAGTTCATGAGTCTTACACAAAGAAAATAGGCTACAAAGAAAAGACTATTTCCTAACAGCAAATATCTAGATGAGCCCAGGCAAATTACAAGATACTCCATCTCAGTTTCCAGATCCATAAAATGGAGATAACATCATATTGTTCCACACGTAGCAATAAATATTCTTTAGTAAGTTAAGTACTAACAAAATAGGGAATTCTCAAGAATTATAATCATTTTACCTGAAAAACACTGAAAAAGAAAGTCTCTTCATACACACTGGTCTTAGTACTTTTGAAAACTCAGTAAAAGTTATAATCATGCAGGCTGCCACCTAAACCAGAGAAAGCCTCAGATAAATCCAATCCCCTCATGCCCTCAATCCCACATTAAGTTCTACTTTATACATTTATATTCTCCAAATACTCAATGTCTGTACTATGCCAGACACTATTCTCTCCAAAGATGTCTCAAACACATCCTCTCCTCCTCACCCCAAATACCATTCCTAGTCCAGCTCCCTTGAACAATCCAGTCTAAGAGCTTCCTAACTTTGTCCTGACCTTCATTTTCTCTCCTATTCATCCTCCTCCGGCATCCAGAGAGACTTCAAAAATGCCTATCTATTTATCATGTCTAAAACTCTCTGGTGGCCCAGAATAAAGTTCCAAAACAGTCCGCAAACAAGAATAAAGGTTATTGCTGGGATGAAGTCCCAAATTTCTTAGCACATACAGCTTAAGGACCCTCCAAGTCTGGCTCCTATCCATCCAGATGCCCTATTTCCTTTCTTGCCAACCCTGGCTGGCATTTATACTTCACTGACACCAAGTGCGCAGCTTTTCTAGAATATTCCACTCAACTGTTCTGTTTCCATGTCACTGTTCAGGCTGCTTAGCTTTATGCTTAATGCTTAGCTTGTCCTCCTCTTGTGCTTTACATCATCTCCAACTTCTTCCAAAAGTCTTTCATTACCTTTCCTCCTCCAGGCTAGATTATGGGTCCCTGCTGGAGACTCCCCAAACTAACTCTTATAATTATTACCAAATTATAATCCCGTGTTTCTCATATGCATGTTCCTTAATTTGGTAGCTGTAGTATCACCCCAGTGATGACCCCTAAGTGTGGTTCTGTTCGTGTTTATATGCCCGAGAAGGGGGCTTCTCCTTCAATTCTCACTGTCTAAACCTGGTGATTTTTTTTTGTTGTTGTTTTTGGTGTGTGTGTGGGGGGGGGGTCACACTAGCATTGTTCAGGGGTTACTCCTGGCTCTGTGCTTCTCTCCCTGCTCCCAGCAGTGTTTAGGGGATCACGTGATGCCAGGATCAAATCCCAGTCTCCCACAGGCAATAGCATGCCTCTGGCTCCTAATCCTATACTTTTTTCAAACTATGAGGGCCACATCCAGCAGTGTTCAGCACAGAAGGTGGAAGCAATGTAATTCAGTGCAAGAGCCTGGTTATGTTCAGGAGCCCCCAAAACAACACCCAAGACAGCACCCGAGCGGATCAAGGAGCCATGCTTACTGATAATCAAACTTGGGGCCCTGCAACTTGAAGTAAATCCCTAGTCCCTCTTAACCTAGCCTTTTCAGACTCTTTTCCTCCCTAATCACCAAACAGCTGACGCCCAGGGTCCAGCCAAGAAAAAGTCACAAACTAAGGACCAAGTAATTCTCTGCTGACTCAAATCCCAATGCAGAGAAAAGGAGCATGGACTTTAGATTCAGATAAAGGCTCCTATAACAGTTTTGCCATCCAAACTTTGAATTCAGGCAAGTTATTATTTCATCTCACCGAGCATCGGCTTTCTCTTAAACAACATGGGATAATAACTTTGCAAGGTTGGGGTAATGAAAATACTACTTATAAAATATTATTTATTATGTGTCAAGTATGCTCTATAACTTAGAGTGATCACATTAAATCTTCACAATTCCTTCATGGTGTCAGTCTATTATGATCTTTGTTTTATTAATAAGAAAACAACTAGAGATTCTAAGTTACTTGTCCAGGTGCTGTGGTAGACTATCTGGCTAATCTGCTGCTCATTTGCACTCCACTCTGAGCTTTGATAAAGATTAGAAAAAGAAAATTTTCACTTTCCCAGCATTCAAAGGAAGCCAGGCAATCCAGTTTTGACTAATGATATTTACACAAAACCTTAGAAATTTTGGGAGACTTCGCTTTCCGGGTAAAAGAACAAATACCACTAATGGTTTCCTACACTTGGTCACAGACAAGAAAATCTCCAGCTACAGCAGTTATCTTAGGTCAAGAGGGTAAGCCAAGATCAGGGAATATGGATCATTAAACCTAATAAATCACAAGCATGTGTCAAAAATCTTTAGACTTCATATTTTATGTGAGATCATGTACTTTCTGTTTATGCTACCATTACTCAAGTCTCCCAGAAGCATCCTCAAGCATATATAAGTAATACACAGAAATCAAACAATGAAGTTAAGATTCAAAGAGAATCTTTCCTGCTTTGCATGCAGGATACCCAGGAACCCTTGGAGCACAGAGTAGACCCCGAATGTTACCAGGTTTAGCCCAGAAAACAAACTTTTAAAAAACAAACAAAATGAAAACAAGCAAACAACAACACAAAAAAACAAACTCCACCAAGACTCAGGGGCTGGAGCAATAGTACAGAGGACATGTTGCTTGCCACCTTGCACTTGGCCAACCTGGGTTCAATCCCTAGTACCCCATATGGTCCTCTGAGACCGCCAAGAGTGACCCCTGAGCACAGAGCAAGGAGAAAACCCTGAGCACAACCAGGTGTTGCCTGAAAATCAATAAAACACCCCACAAGATTAAATTTAAACAAGATTCATCTTTTATTTACATAAGATTTATTCTATAGGTTATTTTCACTGTTAAGATTTTAATAGTGGGGCTGGATAATACAGCAGGTAGGGCATTTGCCTTGCATGCAGCTGACCCTGACTGAGTCTCAGCATCCCATAAGGTTCCGCAGCCACCGCCTGGAGTAATTCCTGAGTACAGAGACAGGAGTAACCCCTGAGCATCACCAGGTGTGACCCAAAAAGAAAAAAAAAAAAGATTTTAACAGTGAAAATAAGGCATTAAATTCTTCCTCCTTGCCCATCTTGGGGGAGATAAACCACAGCCTCCCCAGGGTGCTAGGTGCCAGCAAACCTACAGCCTGCAGTGCTCAGGAGGCCACACAGCACTGTTAATCAGACCCTGGATCCTGCGTATTCCAGGCACATGGTCCTGTCCTTTGAGCTATCTTCTGGCTCCAAAGCATGAACGTTTTGTTAAATATTCAAAATTAGGCAGCCTTAACCATTAAGCTGTGTGAGTCCAGACCTAGCACTGGTCTTGAAATGGTGCAAGAACTCAAATGAGGAAAATAATTATAGTGGGGCTGGAGTGATAGCACAGCGGGTAGGATGTCTGCTTTGCACGCAGCTGACCCAGGTTTGATTCTCAGCATCCCATATGGTGCCCCGAGCAGGGCCAGGAGTAATTCCTGAGTGCATGAGCCAGGAGTAACCCCTGTGCATCGCCGGGTGTGACCCAAAAAGAAAAAAAAAGGAAAAAAAAATAAAATAAGAAAATAATCATAGTAATATCAACGGTTCAGTAGTCTTCCTTTTCTTTTTTTTTTTTTTTTTTTTGCCGTTTTTGGGTCTCACCCAGCAATGCTCAGGGGTTACTCCTGGCTCTGCACTCAGGAATTACTCCTGGTGGTGGACAGGGAACCAGATGGGATACCAGGGATTGAACTCAGGTCGTCCACATGCAAGGCAAATGCCCTACCCGCTATCCTATCTCTTCAGCCCCCAGCCTTCTTCCTTAAAGTTTTAAACCCCTCTAAAAATTCAGCATTGCAACCTACATCACAACATAGCTGCCCAGCAACAGGCCACCACTATTGGGACACTGTTTTAGTTTTGCCTGTATTTCTGAACTCAGTTCTTCCAGCTATGGGTCAAGAAGAACGGGAAGGAAGATACGAAGTTAGATCTGACTGCTCACTGATTTCTATTTCAGGGCACCATGAGGATTTCAGGCCTCTTGCCATGCAGATGTAACGCAAAGATTTCAAGGAACTCAGCCTAAACTTTGCAATCAGCACTTGTCTAAGCTTCTGCCTGCTAAGTTACCTTTGGAGGTAACAATGTGGTTTTGCAGTTTAAACAAGAACAAGAACAAGAACAAGAACTATTGATTTTTCTGCCTCTTTCTCTTGCTGAGAGCAGTAACAGCAAAAATCTGATTTAGACACTTAAATTCAAGTACCTTCCCCACCAGCTGAGCAAATTTTAAGTGATCTCACTTTTGCCCTTACCCAACATGAGACCTTATAAAGTTAGTTTTGGGGGCCAATTACTTCGTTTTCCAAAGATGTGCAAAGAAAGAGATAGGACTGTCATCTTTCACCCTGGAAACTGTAGCTTCGATCCCTGTGTCTAGGGTTGAGAGCCGCTTGCTTCATAGACCTCCCCCTATGAAAAGAGGTCAGCCAGCTGTATGACAGCGACACCTCTCTGTCATAGCTGACATACGATCTCTGTTTCGAAAGCTGGGTGGAACTCCAAGGGTATTTCCCCAGAGAATGATGACATTCACAATGGCAAGTTTCCTAGACAAACTCAATGAATTGGGAGAGAAAAGAAA